ATGTAAAAGTAAGGATTGAAAACTGAAAATCTAATGCTCACACTTGGATTTGAACGATTAAATCCAGAATAGTGGTCCCATAGCTAAAACTTTAGTTAGGTATAATCAAATTTAATTGCCCCAACTGGTTCATTTAAATAAACTAAAGTACTTGAAAATGAAAGAATATCGGTATTAACTGTTGTATTATAATTAAGAGTTGCAAAAATTTCTTCATTCAAGTTAACAGTAAGACCTTGAGGATCAAGAAGATTTAGGGAAATATCTAGGAGAGGTAAATCAAATTCAGTAAATAAAACAATAATAAAATCTAAAGAAGATCTTGTATCTTTATTTGCTTGTGCTTAAACTCTGATAACTGTATAAGGACTAAAAGTTGAAGGTGGAATAGAAGGATTTATTTAATTAAAATTAAATGGTTTTGCATTTTAATCATAGCATTATTTAGTAGGATCAGAAGGATCTGTGCAACTCCATACTAAAGTAATTCCTTAATCAGCATTAGGATCTTGAACATCTAAATCTCTTAAATTAGCATTTAAATTTAAATTAGATTTGTAATCTATCCTTTAATTTCCACCATTAATTTTAACAATTAATTTTGGTGGTACTGTACTAAATGAAACTTGTTACATATTTGTTACAGATTAATCACTTGATAATTAGAGCTAAACCTAAAATGAATTTATTAAACAAATTATTTTTAAAAATAATATGATAGATTAAAAAGGTTTTACATTTATTTAGTTATTTGAATTTGGAGGAAATGAGTATGCTTATATTATTTAAACTATTTGGTTCTATGTGTTACTTTTAATTTGATTGCTAATTTAAGAAGTCTAAGGACTTGTAATAGTTATATCTATTGGATCATTAGTATTCAACGAATTTCCATAGTTGTCACAGTACTAAATTGAATAACTCAAATTCAGATTAAACTCTAAATACCTTTTTTTTAAAAATTTTTAGTTGTTTTAAAATTGATTGTTTATTTACCTAAAATAAGGAATTATCATATTTGAACTGAGAACAGAAGCTATACTTTTAAATGTTTATACTTAAAATACAAACTACTGAGATGCAGAATAAGTATTTTTCAATTTGTAAGAAGCTTAAATACTCTTTTAAGTGTTTAGTGTAATGACACCTTTTGGTATAGTGATGTTTAATAAACTCTAATTCGAAGCTTATGTAAGAATATTTTATATCTAAACGTCGTCTTAATTAGCTGTCGGATTTAAAAGTGTCCAAGTTATACTTTAGAAACCTCTACCTGAGTCGTTCTAAACTTTATCTAATGTAATTTTATAATCATTACAAGAGTTTTCTATCTTTTTAAAATTAAAAACAACTCCTGTATTTTATGGAGGCTATTGATATACAATATTATTCAAAAATGTGTCAATATAAGAACTAGAATTTATTTTAAACTTTAAAATGTTTGGTAAAAAGTTTAAGGTATCTCCTTAAATTATTGTAGCTGTGTTATCTAATTATCAAATAAAAAATCATTTAATATGAAATTAAATTAAAAATAATATACCAAGAGCAATATTAACCAAGTTAAACTAAATTTAACAAGCAGAATTAAAGCCTATCTTCTATAGCTCTGCTTAGCTGAATAATAATTTGCATATAGTGGTAGAGTTTGTTTAAGTTGGATAATTAGGGATATCTGCTAATATTTTCCCAAAATCTATTGTCATCTATGGTCCTTAATTAGATAGTTCTATATTCAAAACAGCTTAGTTATTCATACTACATTCATAAAAAAACATCCTCTAATCTTCCTAATCTTTACAGTCACATCTATTAGTTGCAGCATTTAATTACCTCGAGCCATAACAAGTCTTGCATTAACTTATAGTTGATGCAGAGCAAGTTTAACAATCTGAAGCACAATTATTGCACTCTGGTACACCTATAAAAACTGGACAATTTTAACAGTTATTTTAAGAAGAATTATAGCTATATCCATTAGGACATTTATCTAAACATGAATTATTGAAAAGAACCATAGAACCGAAACAGCTTAAGCAATTATTAGAACTTGAGCCATTACAAGTCTTACAAGTAGCATCACAGCAAAGTGGGCTTTACTATAAATTACAGCTAATACAAGTAGATAAAGATTAATACATCCACCTATTTTATTTACAAACATTGCTGATTGAGGGATCACCACAGTTTACTCCAAAAGCTTATGAGCATGAAAGGCATTAAGACAATGTTGAAGAATAGTAATATCCATATTTATTACACAGCTAATTGTAAATACTACTACCCCCACAATTTCCATTAGAGTCAGCAGTAAAACAATTAACACATGTGTTACTATTGTAACTCAACCAACCCTTAGTTAAACAATAATCATGATTTATTTAAGTTCCACCACAAAGAGAGTTAGAAACATTTGTATTACATGAATTGCAAGTATTTTTATCTGAGTTAAATTTACAAACATTAGAATTTAAGGTCATTATTGGATCTTAACACGACAAACATTAACTGTTAGACGTCCCATTGCAACTAGAGCAGCAATCTGAACAGTTAACACATTAATGTAAGTTAAAATCCCAAAATTAATTAACCTAACAAGCATTTACACAAATATTATTGACAACCTTATAGCTTTCTTAGCAAGTAATACAATCAGTTATGCTAGGTCCATTACATGTTTTACAAAAGCTATTGCAAGGTAGACAGAGTCCAGAGCTTGTATTCCAGTCATAAGTAAAATAGAATCCATCATTACAATAACAAAAATTACCTAAGGCTGCATTAGGTTATGAATTTTAAATACAAGAAGTACATGTAGATCCATTTAAACAATTAGTGCAACTTGCATGACATCTTTCTTATAGTTTATAAAAATAATTTGATAAATTGTAAATTTATTTTTTTAATAATTAAATATTTAATTTTAAATTTAATTATACTTCCTTCCTTTAAATATAAAGCAAAATCTTTAAGAAATAAATATAATTAATAAAAGCAAAATTAGTAAAATAAATAAAAATTTTACAATAGTATATTGTTAGATCATTTAATGTGAACCATTTAGAGTTAGGTAAATACGCTCCGATAGTGAAATTTAAATTTGTATCTTTTTTCAATTAAAATATCTATTCTGGAACCTAATTTTCTCCATAATTAATATCTTCGCATAAACTGACAGTAGTATTTGATCTGTAATTTGCCTTTTTCACTAAATTATTATCTATGTAATAACTCATATAATCTACAGCTGCAAAATTATCCACATTCATAGCTGTAAATTAAAACCCTACTTGATAATGATAATTTTAATACTATGGTAATTGCATAATTAAGGAAACACTTTATGTGCCATAAATATAGGGTGCATATTTTCTATTATAGCATTATCTAAACTATTCAGGTAAACCAGTATAGTACCAAAATTATAAATCTAGCTAAATTCTATCTTAAACGAAAAAAGACATCCCTTAATCTTTAGCTCTTATACAGTAGCTAGAACCAGGATCTTGAGAGTATTAATTTGAGCAAGAACTGTTAATAATACATAATCCATTCTGGATAGAATATCCTGTAGCACAAGAAGTACATTTACCAGTTTAATCTTCACAAGACAAGCAATTTGGTGGACAATTAGAGCAGTTATAGCAAGGAGAAGAATAGCAATTTTAAAATTAAGCATATTATCCCTTGCTGCATGCGCAATTTTAATTTATTAGTATTGAAGTTTATTGAATTTAGCAAGTAGTGCAAGACCAAGGGTTACCATCAGTTGTACAATCATTGCAAGTAGAGTGACACTTAGTGATGTTCATTGCAAAGTTTCTGATTCCCCATCCATTTTTATTAGATGATATATTAATATCAAGACTAGTTGTGGAATCATTAATAATATAAGTTAATTGATAGTAATTAACCTATTAATTATCATCACAAAGCTAATAATTAGTGAATATTTTAGTAAATGATGATAAGGTTACTAGATTATTATTAACTTCTAAAATAAAATCACCTTATTAACCATTATTATAAATTAAACCTTAAAAAGTAATTATTTTTTAAAAGTTTTTGGGTAAATTAAGAATTTTTTTATTAATTTTGTTAGAATTGAGATTATTTTGTCCTCCCAAAATAGTATAAGGCCCAAAGCTTTGATTTTCTAGCCAACATTAGGTATATTAATCAGGTTAAATCTACAAATTAGTATCCATCAAAGTAAATCCATCATTTTAAATAAAATTTCTTGGATATAGCAAAGGGTTTAGTAAGATATAAAAGGGATTAAAATTTTGAACACATAGTTAGTTAATATAATCCTTTTAATATCCATTAGGGCAATTAGATACACATAGAGAATTTAGTGAATTATAGAAGCTATTTACTGGACATCTTTTACAAATATTATTTGTGGTATCAAGCACATAACCACTTTTACATTACAAACAATTAGATTAATTATCGCAATTTAGGCAATAATCTTAGCAAACGTCACATTTTAATTTGACTGAATTATAGAAAACGCTATTTACTGAACCAAATTAGCTTGTTTAAAAGTAGACTATGTTCTAGCATTAAGATGGATCTATACAAACTCCATCAAAATAAAATTTTGTAGAATTATAACAATTTATAATTAAATCTGTAGTTAATGGTTAATATTATTTTTTAGTGTAGTTGGTTAGATTATCATTTATAAAAAATGCTGATCTCAATAGCTAATCATTCATATTGTTTTCATTTATTATCAATTTAGCAGTATCTGGAGGGTAGAAGCCTGTGATCATTTTTATTGATGAATACTGTCCAACAAATTATGTAAATTTATTTTCAAGAGGAGGACAAATAATGCATAATGTGAGCTATGTAATATCAGATCTAAATTAAAAATTACTCTACTAGAAAGTAGGATAAACTAATCCTCCTTAAGGATATCCTTACCATATAGAATAGTAAATGTTAAGAGATTATTTGAATCCGAAACCAAATTAATACCAATAACCTGCTATAATTCCCGGGCCTTATTAGGAATTAATCTGTTGGTTATTATTATCCATTTATACCATTATGTAGGGAGATGTACCAATAGTGTAATAGTTCATGAAAGTATACTCTTAACTTACCTAGTACCTCATCATAGAATACTATTTATTTGAATCTATGGTATTAAATTTAAAATAACCAAAAATAATAGCATCTTGAAAGTCTTATTACTAAATAATTAAGCTCTGAGGAGTAGAGCCAACCCCTCTTACTAAGCTTTTCATGCCAAAACCTTCGATTGTATACCAGGTTGCATAAAAATGTGAGACTTAGATTAAGAATATAATTAGAGTTAATAACATACTTTTTTATTTTAATTTCTACTTTCCTTTTATGAAATTAATTAAGACTTTTATCTGGTCTTTAATTTTACATTTAATTTACATAAAATAAATATACTGTTCTAGATACCTTATATCTATATGTAGATGAATAAATAAACTAAATTTAAAGGAAATTTTATTTTAAAGATAACCATAGATTTTTCTAATAAAATGTAATCTAATTAGATAATAATCATACTTAAAAATTTATTTTCTATTCAAATACATTTACCTTAAAATATAGAGATATTAGTAAAAATATCTTGATAAAAAAAAACTAAAAAAATAAGATATAACTTCATAAAAAATAAATTAATGCTGATTAAATAATAGGCTTATTAAATTTACATCTCTAAAAATGCAGCATTAGCAAGTAATACTCTGTACTATTCAAAGATTTCTTGTGATAAAATGTTAATTTTTGAACTATTACCAAACAAAATAAAAATGATATACTTTATATTAAAGTATTCAAAGATATTTACAATTTAAACTAACTAAGACCTGTCTACTATTAGTTATTTATTTTTATGTTAATTTTAATTTCATTAATTAGTAAAAGACTTTTAACTTCCTAAATTATTACTACTGTGATGCTTAGACAGATTAACATGATTAATATTATTTTCTTTCTGAATTTCTAGAAATATTTGGTCTATATATGTAAAACTGTCCAATATGAAACCTTCCATTTATTATTTTTGTGTGATGAAGCTTTAAGCTCGTAAATAAACGGATTCGTGTAGAGGGTTGGGTGATGATGTGAAAAAATTGTTGAGACAGAGTTCACTTTTCTCTATATAAACCATCTATCTATTTTTTAAAAAAATACTATCTAAGAAAGATAATAATACTTACAAATTTATTTATTATCAAAATAAATTTACCTTCAAATTTTGAAGCAGAAAAAATTTAAAAAGTTGATAATACTTCAATTAAATATTAATAACTACTGATTAAATATATATCTAAAAATATAGAATTATCAAGAATATTTAAACATAAATGAAATTTAAGTTAAATTAATTAAGGAAATTTTTTAGTTATCAACCACTCTTATTAAGCTTTTCATACTAAATTCTTTAAATAATATACCAAATTGCATATAGATATGAGATTTAAATTTCGAAAATAGTTATACTTAATAGCATCATATTTTTTTCAATTTTAATTTTCTTTTTAAAAAATGAATTAAGACTTTTATCTAATCATTAATTTTAAATTCAATTTACTTAGTATAGAATAGATACAAATAAAAGTGTTCTAGATGACTTATATTTAATTCTACAAAAAAAATAAAAATTTAATTTTAATTATGTTTTATTTAAAAGATAACCATTTATTTTCAAAAAAAATAAACTAAAATAAATAATGAAAGATTAAAATACTTACAAATTTATTTTTTATTAAAATAAATTTACCTTAAAATAGATAAAGTATCAAGTATGAAACAAATAAAACTAGCTTTGATTGACAAAAATTAAAAAATTAGATAAAACTTTATGAAAAATTAATAGCTCTTGATAAAATAAAAGACTTAAAAAATAAATATCTCTAAAAATACAGCATTATCAATTAATACTCCTTTATTTATAAAACATTTAAATTTTATAGTTTAAACTATTACTTGGAGACAATTAAAATTTGTAAATTAATTAAAATATTCAAAAATAAATGCAATTTACATTAACTAAAGCCATTTATTAGCTATAAATATCTTACTAAGCATTTTCATATCAAATCCTTCAAATTATATCGATTTATAAAGTGAGAATTAAATTGCAAATTATGTTATTTTTTAACTTTAAAGCATCTTTTTATTTTAATTTCTATTTGTTTTATGGTCTTTAATTTCAAAATACTCAAGTTATAAAATATACAAATAAAATATACAAGAAGCATTAAATTTTATTCTACATAAAAAATCATATTTAATTTTAATAAAGTTTTATTTAAAAGATAACCATCTATTTAAAAAAATATTATCTAAAATAAATAAAAATATTTATTTTTGCTTAGATAAAATTTTTTAGATGCAAAAAAGATTTATTAGTTAAGTACACTATATATTTTTAATAAAATCTATAATTAAAGTGTCAATATTGTCATAAATGTTTTATTTAATGATTTTAACAAAGTGATAATCAATCTAAAAAAAATAATAATAAAAGATATTTAAAGTTGACAATTAGATTAGGACTTAATTTTAGAGTGTAGTATTAAAAATTAAAAATTAATCTATTTAATTTTATTTTTTATAATTTTATTTTTGTTTTTAATTTTTTTTTATGATTGACAAAAAATATTGTAATAAGATAAATAGGCATATAAATCATCTTTAAATAATCAATTTTATTGATAATCTTTAATAAAATTATTTTTATACAACTTTTGCTTGTAATGAAAATATCATATTATGATTTAAATAATTGAACAAATTTGTCATCCATTTCTACTTTTATAATTATTAAGAAAAAGCTAATCTTATTTATCAAAATAATGCAAAAACTATTTATCTATTTTTTGTAAAATAATATTGTAATTTTAAAAATATATTTTAAATAATATAAATTTTTTTGAATCAGTCTATCTATCAATTCATCGTATGTAAAATCGATAACATAAAATTAAAAATTTTATTATTTTATTAAATATTAATTGATTGAAAAAAATTTTAAAACTATAATTGTAAAAATATTAACTTAATTAATTAAGAAAAATATTTTAAATTTAATATATATAAACATCTTTCTAAAAACCTAATTTTTTTATTTTATAATCATAACTTTCAATAAAAGTGAATATAAATTAAGTTACTCTAATCAATAATTATTGATAGGGTAAAAACAAATATCTTTTCTTTACAATTATTATTTTAAAATATGATAGAATAAATATTTTTTAAAATCGAAATATTATATTTAAATAATAAAAATTCAATTTTTATATTTTTTATGTATTATTTCAATATCTTTTTCCTTAAACAATTTTTCAAGCTAGAAAAATAATTTATGAAATGACTAAACTATCAGATATTACAAAGAAAATATAAATATATCAAAAATAATATATAATAAATAAATATGGATTGATAACCAAAAAATCTCTGAAGAAATAATGAAAAAAACTGAATTTAATTTTTAATTTGAAATTTTAAAAGTTCTGTATGTAATAGCATACATTTTGAAAGTAAATGGATTAATTTATGTTAAAATAAATAGTTTGAAATGATAGAAAGAATACCAAAGAGAGATTGAAATGAAAAGTTTCTTTAATTTTTAAGTTTAAAAATAACAAACATGCTTTTGATAGTAAATTATAAATTATGAGAAAATGATAGAGGCTCTCTAATTTGATATTAATATTAAGTAAGTTAATAAATATTATTTAAGATAAAAATTCACTTTATATTAAGAAATAACTTAAATTCTTACACACTTTACAAGAATAGGTTTTACAATTTGATTTGATTATATTTTATATTTTTGAAAAAATAAACTAATAAATATTATTTTTATTTAAAGTTTCATAAAAATTATTAAAAATAAAATAATAAATAAATAACTTAATTTAACCACAATAAACAATAATAAAATTGATCAAAATTAATTTAAAATGACTAAATTAAGCGAAATATATTTATTTTAAACAGATTTTACAAAAATAATTTTTTATTCAAATATGATAAGCTATTGAAGATTTCACTATTAATTTAATTTGAAAATAATTTTTTTATGACTAAAAATAAAAAAATGAATAATTTATTGTAAATTTTATCTTCCCCAATTTACTGGTTGGTTAAAATTTTAAAACTCTGTCCACATCAGTAAAAAAAAAAGAATTTAATTATTGATGATATTTTATTTTTTTTTATGATTAATGCTATAATTAATAGATGCCTTCTATCTATAAATAATTTTTCCAAAAATTTAAACTTTTTTAAACCAACAAAAGAAAATGTTTATTTAATATTTTATCCCTAAATAAACATATTAGCAATAAAATCATTTAATTTAATTTAACTAACCAGGCTACTTTTATAAATATAATTCGGTTTAACCCTATCATCCCTCTTATATTAATAGCACGGTTATAAGCGATAATCACAATGGTATCTTAAACTATAATAAAGGTTTGTATAACTAAAATTAAATTATGTAAAAATGTTAAACACAGATAAATCAAAGAGAATGCTAGAATGGCTAGATAATTTCTTAAACTTAATACTAGCAACTACATTTATAAGATGTTCATACAGAAAAAATTGCTAATACTAATATAAACGATGTTAATCCTTATGAACATTATTACCTCTAAAATAAGTCTAAAAAGGAAGAATATAAAGACTATTGTGAAGTATAAATGAATTAATTAGATCATTTAGCTATAAGTGAATAAAGGCAATTACGTTGCTCTTTTTCTACAGAGCTAACTGATAGAAATGGAATCGATAGAAATCGTTTCGAAATAGTTAGTCGTATTAGAAGTAAAACCTTCTAAACAAATGAAACTCAAATATAAGAAGAATTATATTATGATGATGAAGAAGAAATAATTTAGAGCCGTTTAAATTCTTAGTGTTGTAGTTAAATTGATTTGTGTTAAAATTTAAACTCAAGCAACTTCTAATAAGAATAATAAAGAGATATTGAATCGCCATAATAGAGTAGTTAATAAAATGTAATTTAATCTTATTAGAAAAAATAGCTGATAAATAGCAACCTTTTTCTTGAAAACCTCAAATAAGAATTTCTTAAATTTTATGATTTTAAAGATGAAAAAAAAATAGCCCATTAAATTTATAATGACCTAAATTCAAAAGTAAATGAGAAAAATTCGAGAGAATTTACTTAAAAAAGTTCATTGTACTTTAATTAATAGTTAGATAATCAACTCTTTACGTTTAAATAATGCGTTTATGCAAATTTGAACAGTGATATTAGCAAATAATTTGCAAATTACTGTGGGTAGAGTAATTTAAATAATATTACTTAAAATAAATAAGGAATATTAAATGCGTAATTAAATAATAGTAATATTAATCGAGATGATGATAACATTTAAATTAACAATAATAATAACACATCCTAACATTAAGATTAATTTGTAAACTCCAATTAGTAATGTGCTTCTTATAGTCTATTTCAAGATTTTTTTTGTTTAAAACCAAAATCTGTTTCTTTTCTAACAAATTTTGATTTTACAGATATAAGGCAAAATTAACCAAAAAAGTCTGCTAAAAAAAAGAGTAAGAAAGAAAATTCCTCTTATGTCAAGAATTCTTAATTTCATAACCTAAATAAATTATTTATGTACAATATTTTGGGCATGTTTAGAGTAGATGCTCTAAATAATCTTAATCTTTCTGAAATCATAATTAAAGAGTTAATAAAGATAATTTAAAGGCTTAAAATTTCTAGCAAAAGGAAACACAAAAAACAAAGTCAAGGATTTTATAACTATTTCACACACAGCCATTATAACATCCTTTTCTTAAAAATAAATGAAAAAAATATATACTAAATTAAGGAAAGTCCTCTTGATATAGATTTACACCAATAATGCTTTAATATTAATTTGAGTAAAAATGTTTCAGAAACAGAAATAGCTTATATGAATTTGATGAAGGAAATTAATTTTTAGATTTTCATGGCTAACATAAGAGAAAATTAGTTGATTGACGATGGAACTGAATCTAAATAAAATATAAGAAGCAAATACACATTGAGAGCAATTAATGGTATTAAAAAAATAGCAAAAGGAAATTTTATAAAAAAGTTTTGATGTTGTTTATCTATTTGTGTTTTAGTTAGTACTTTTATATGCTTCATCTATTATATCCTAACTTAAATATTGATTGTTTTTATTTAATGTTAATTTCCTATCTATTATATTTTGTTAAAATAAATAAAAAAAGCATTATTAACTGAATAAATATTGGTGTTAAATATTATTTATTTAAAAGATAATATTAGTTCAAATCATTAACATAATTATTTAGGATAACAAAAATAAAATGCTTGCTAAAGCGCTTTTCAAAATATTTACTTTGCTAAGGTGATATTTATTAGATGTAAGTAAAAGCTTTAGCTAGGTAAATATAGAAAATATTTTTAATTTAACCCATATTTGAAATATTAATATTATCATACCTGTTTCATTTGTATTGAAATTAATATTGTAATATTCAAAAAAAAAAACCATAAAAATAGTTTTAAAAAATGTTTAGAATAAATTTTTAAATATTAGACTATTGAATTAGGATTTAGTTTTAGAATATAGTAGATTTATAAATTAAAAATGATTTTATTTAGCCTTATTTATCACAATTTTATTTATATTTTTTAATTATTTTCATCATATGTAAAATGTATTGTAATAATTTAATTTTGTAAATAACACACCCTTAAATAATATGTTTTATTGTTATCTTTAATAAAATTATTTTTAAAATGCTACTGTTATTTGGTAGTAATAAAAAAATTAGATCATGATTTAAATAATCGAGCTATTTTTATTATTCATTTCTATTTTTATAATTATTAAGAAAAACAAACTTATCCTATTTATCAAAATAATACAAAAATTATTAAGAAAAACTTATCATATTTATTAAAATAATACATTAATTATTTAATTAATTACAACAAAATATTTATAAAATTCAAATTAAGATATGATGACAGTGTGATTTTTTTATAAAATTTGTTTCAATATTTATGTAATTTTTAAAAAATATTTTTTTAATCAACCAATCAATAAATTAATTGATAGTATAATAAATATTAGATACAACATTAAAATTTTTAATATATAATTTATTATCTTATTCCACTTAAAATAATTTAATAATATTATTCCGTTCCATTCAATAAGTATTATCTTAATTAATTTATAAAATATTTTAAATTTATAATCCATAAACCTCTTTCTAAAACCTTATGTTATTATTTTATTAACAATTTTTTAAAAAAGACGCCAATTAATTTTAGTTTCTTAGCTATTATTAGTTAAAGAGATATCAGTCAGTTTCTTGCAAAAAAAATTAACTTTACAGTAAATATTTATTTTTATACTTTTATTTTATTTATGATTGAAATAAATTTACTCCTCATCTTTTCTACTACTAATCTGCGCATTAGAATATTATTATAAATTAAATAGCATAATACTTAAAATCATAATAAATAGCTAACTTAGGATTTATTGTAAACAAATAAATATACTAATAAACAAATATCTTTTGAATTAATTAAAGATATTGGCAAGAAATTAATAGAAAAAACATCTAATTCTAGATTTACTTTGGGAAAATTAGAAGACCTAAAAAAGCATAAAATAATAAAGTAGATGGAGTGACACATGTATAAAATAACAATCAATGAAATTATGATTGCTTAATTAATTAATAATAAAATGAAATAGCATATTTATTTCTTAATATTTTTTAGATGTGTAATCTAGTAATTAAAAGTAAATTAAATTTTAATAGAAATAATAAATCATTTTTTTGTATTTAGAAGGTATAAATAAATAAATGGGGCTGAAATAAATCTCTTTACATTTAAATTATAAAAATAACATTACATTAATTGTTTAGTTGAAAAATGAATTGGGTTAAATGATCGATGGCTCTAAAATTTGAAAATTTATTTAAATAATTAGTATCAATTGAGATACATTTATAAAAAATAAAATTTAATTACTACTAATAGAAATTAGAAAGAATATAAAATATTTTATTATATTAATTTTATTTTTAATATAGTAAGTAATTGATGAATATATATTATTTTTATTTAAGGCTTTTTATATGAAAACTATTTAAAATAAAAATAAAAATGTGGTTGCACTACCATGAACTAATTAATCTTACTCAATTGAAATTTGTAAAAGTAAATAATTAATATTAATTTATTTTAGATATACTTACTTAGATTATAATTTAATTAAACATTATAAATAATTTTATTTTCCAAAAAATAAAAAAATGTTCAAATGTTGTAATTCTTAACTTCTTCGAAGAGTTTGTTTGTGATTGGTTAGTTAGTTTTCAAAAAATTTTAATAATGACAAAACTGAGTACATATCAGTAAAAAAAAAGACTTTAATTATTGATAATATATTTAAATTTTTTATGATTAATGCTATAATTAATAGATGTTTTTTTTTTAGTTATTTATTACAATTTACTAAAAATTTAAATTTTCTAAAATAAATACTAAGAGAATGTTTATTTAATGTTTTATTCCTTAATAAACATATTAGCGATAAAATCAACAAATATAATTTAGTTAACCTAGCTATTTTTATAATTATCCTTAAGCATTAAATAATATTCCCTCTTAAATCTATAGAACTGGAATAAGCGTAAACCAAAATGGCATCTTAGTCTGCAATAATAATATTTGTAACTAAAACTAAGTTATATAAAACAGTTAAACACAAGCAAATCTTACTGGGTATAGCAATGACTACACACTCTCATAGTCTAAATGTTAGCAATCATATGTGCAAGATTTTCAGTTAGAAAAAAATGATAATATTGTTATAAATGATGTTAATTTTTATGAAAAAAATAAAAGAAAAAGTAGATATAAAAAGGAGGAATAAATAGACTATTTGGATGTTAAAATGAATAAATCGGAGGATTTTGATACACATGTATCCAGATAAGTACGTTGCTCTTTTTCTACAGAACTGATTGATAGAAATAATGTTGATAGAAACTCTTTTGAGATAATATGCAGTATTGGAAATAAAACCTTCCAAACAAATGAAACTCAAATGGAAGAAGAATCATCTAATAACAATGAACAAATAGCTGTTTAAAACATTTAAAACTCATTATGTTTATTTAAAAATCCTCATTATTAAAATGTAAACTAGAATGACTCACCATAAGTATAATAAAATGCTAAAGCATCACCATAACTGATTAATGAATAAAAGTTACTTTAATTTCAAAAAAAAAAAGAGTTCTTAAATCACAACATCTTACTTAATAGCCTCAAGTAAGAGTTTCTTAGATTTTATGATTTAAAAGATGAAAAGAAATTAGTCCATTAAATTTATAATGACCTTTCTTAAAAAGTTAATGAGATAAAATCTGGAGAATTTACTTAAAAAAGTACTTTATAATCAAAACAATTATTAGATTATTAAGTTTTTACATTTAAATAGTGTGTTTACACGAATTTAAACAGTGATATTAGCAAATAATTTGTTAATCACTGTGGGTAAATTAATTTAAATAATAATTAAAATAAAGAGGACGTATTAAATACGCAATTCTATAATAATTATATTAGTCGAGATGATGACAACAACCAAATTAGTATTTCTAATAATAGTAATAATGACAACTCCTAGAATGTAAATGAATTAATCAATTTAAACGAACACTAAGCTCCTTCAAGTTTATTTTAAAAATTTTTTTGCTTAAAGCCAAAGTCTACTCCTTTTCTGAAAAATTTTGACTTTTCTGAAATCAGGCTCAATTAGCCAAAAAAGACTTTAAAAATAAGAAATAAGAAAGAAAACTCATCTTATATTAAAAATTCTTAGTTTCACAACTTAAATAAATTATTTATGTACAACATTTTAAGCATGTTCAGAATAGATGCGCTAAATAATCTTAATTTATCTGAAATAATAATTCAAGAGCTATCAAAAATAATTTAAAGGCTTAAAATTTCTAGCCAAAGGAAACACAAAAAATAAAATCAAGGAGTTTATAACTATTTCACGCACAGCCATTATAATATACTTTTCTTAAAAATAAATGATATGAATATTCACTAAATTAAGAACAGCCCTCTTGATTTAGATTTACACCAATAATGCTTTAATATTGACCTAAGTAATGATGTTCCAGAGATAGAAATAGCGTATATCAATTTGATCAAGGAAATTAATTTTTAGATTTTCATGGTTAACATAAGAGAAAATGAGTTGATTGATGATGGAACTGAATCTAAATAAAATATAAGAATCAAATACACATTGAAAGCAATTAACGGTATTAAAAAAATATCAAAAGGAAATTTAATAAAAAAGTTTTGATACATATGCGTGTGTGTATATTTATTTGTATATTAATAATTTTAGTAAGGTTCATAATCTCTTCTTTTAAATATTACTTGTTATTAATTAAGTGAATGTAATAAATATCCTAACAAATTCTAATTAATTTCCAAATAAAGAAGGCTAAAAATGAATTGATTGACAAAGCGTATCTAAAATATATTTTTGAATAATCTTAAAATGAAATTGATAGATAAACAGAAAATCTAAAGTTACATTGTTATTTATATAATAAAAGAAATATTTATAAATTAGTTATATAATATTTAAAATATAAAATATATTTTTATGTAGAGTACAATCATCATTATAATGGCTTTCAAAATATGCATCTATAAAAATAGTAAAAAATGAACATTTAAAATAAACGCTTTAAGAGCTGAACATTAAATTATGATTTAGCTTTAGAAAAAAGTAGAATGAAATGTTAACAATTATTTTATTTAACTAATATTTAACAATTTTATCATTTTTTTTTCCAATGATCACCACTAAAGTACAAATAGAATATTTCTATCAAAACTCTCTGCTTTTCTAGTAATTAACAAATAACTCATCTAATTTAAAAATATTATAAATAAATTAATTAATTAATTTTTGTAAAATATCTATAAAAGATTATAGATAGATATGTTAATTAATTATAATAAAATATCTATTAAAATAAAATATAAAATTTAGGATTGTAATGATTTTATTTAAAAGTTTATCTAATTTTCATATAATTTCAAAAAAATATTTTTTAGAATTAATCAATCTAATGCATAATATTATAATTTTTATTTATATTTTTAATTAATCTTAATTTTATTTAATAAAAATTAAAAGAATAATATTAAAAAAATAAGTATTCAGTTAAATAATTTTAATAATATTTTAAATATACTCAATTAAAATTAATGATGAACTATCTATGAAAATTTTATATTAATTATTATTTATTTTAATTTAAATTAGATCTTTATTAATTTTAATGTATTATCTATCTTTCCTTTATTTCTTAAGAGATTTATTTCAAAAACTACTAAATAAATTTACTATGAAATCAATATTTATTTATATTTTTTACTTTTATTTTATGTATTTTAAATCTATTAATTAATAGAAATTTAAAAATTTAAGATTATTGTAATAATGTAGATAAGATATTATTTAAAATAAGTTAATTGTACATTATAAATTATATCATTCACTTATTATTAAATAAAAACAATTGTTTAATCAATATTTTTATCCCTAATTTTAGATTTTAATCAATAAAAGAAAATTAAATAAAATATTTAATAGTAGCTTTACCACCATAGAAAAATTGTCTCTAAAACCTAAATTAATTTTATTTATCAATAAAGATTCTTAATTTTAATTATTAAATATTTGTTTTAGCTCCCTAATAAAAGTTAAGCTGAAAAATTAATTATAAAATATGACATTTTTCTAAAATAAATATTAAATTATTATCAAATTAAAAATGAATTAATTAATTAATTAATTATTAAGGATAAAATATTTTAAAATATTAATTAAAACATTAAATGTATTTTTTAAATATTTAATTTAAAATAAAGTGAATTATTTTCTATTATTTAAAAATCAAGAATAAGCGATAATTAAAAATATTATCCAAGAAATATAATATTTTATTTTAAATAATGAATAAATTGATCAACCAATCAAATTCAAAGTATTTAAATTAAAAAATTGTCTATCTTCTGGGCCAAACTTCTTAATTACAAAAATGATAATATTAATTGTTTCCTAGGAATACTTTAAAATTACTTTTTTTAAAATCAGCCAATATAAGCAATTAATAATAATTTTACTTTAAAAAACTAAGATTTGAGTTATATGAAGTTAAAATAATTTAAAGGGGGTTATATTTTCTAGTTTTTTATTAAAACTTGAAAATGAAAATCTAAAATAAAATAAAAAAAGTTTATATGTATATAAAAAATTTGTATTAACACCTTATTGTCTTAATTATTGGGAGACTAAATTGTTTTAATTATATTTAAAGTTTTATCTTCCTTAAAAGATTTATATCAAGTTTTGGATAAAAAAATATAAAAGCAATATTAATAAAAATTAAAGCTCTGAACTTATCAGAAAATAATTAATTAATTAACAAATATTTCTAAGCATTTTGTTAATATTTAGATTTGACATGTAAAATTTTAATTTTAGTATTAAATTTTAACTAAATAAATTTATTTTAATAAAATATATGCTTTATTTTTGATTTCGTTAGAATACAAACTTATGATTTGTTAGATATTTATATATATATATATATATATATATATATACGCTTGCTTATTTAAATTCAAAAATATAAATATTTTCATTAAGTAGTGTAAATAAGAAAAATCAATAGGACTAGTAGTTCTTATTAAATAAATTTGCTTATCTTAAATATTAAAAACTTCAGACTCTTAATCAAAACCACAAAAACTTTCACTTACTAATAGATATAGTAAATTATTAATTAAAAGACATAATTAAAAAAATCATCATTAATTAATAAATTACTTATAAAGAATTTAAACAAAGAGAGAACTTAGAAAGAATGTAGAATAAAACTTCTAAATTTAGTTCCTAAGAAAATAATAAAAAAGTTAGTTTAAGTGATAAAGTATTATAGTTTTTATAGGGTAAATTGATCAGCATATTGCATGGATTTTAAAGAAATAGGATATTTTCGATTATTTACCTCACTATTTATTTTATTTAAGTTGTTAGCTTAAGCTTTAATTCAGCTTTTTTAACTGATTATGCCTCTTAGAATAATTCATTTAACAAGGATAAGCTTTTTGAAAATGACTAAAAGGGAAAATAAAATTTAGAAGGATAAATAAATTTAAAAAGTGCTGATATTAGTGTGCATTACTATATTTATAAAATTGTTAAGTACAGCCGTATTTATCCTTTGTTCTATGATATTTTTAGCTAGTACTAGAGTTAAATCTAATTAGCTATAATCTGCATTTTTATAAGCATAAATACACTACTTATACTTCATATTATAAGAAAAATGATACTTTATTTAATCGAATTCAGTAGATTAGAATATAATAAATAGTCGATTGATTTAAACCAAAAAGATTTAAGGAAATATGAAATAGATGAAGACTTAGTTTTGTAGATTTTGCACTTTTTTGATACATTTGATAGCTTTTACATGGCTATATTTGGATTTTATAGATATGTGTTTATGATTCCTAATTTGCTTATTTCGATATCTTACTTGGTGCAAACAGATACAAATCTAGCAGGATAGATTTTAGCCGCATTAAATCTAGGGTTAGCTGCATTGGTGACTTTAGTTGTTTCATTCTACGATTTTGATATTAGCTTTTATAAAAATAATTAAAGCTAAATTGAAAAAGAAGATTTCCTCTCTAGAAAAATATCATTTTCTTCGATTCTAAGCATTTTTGGAGACATAACAAAATGCGGAGTAGTATCAATAAGTTTGAGTGTAAATTAATACTTGATAGTTTGTATCATTTCTGTCATTTTTACTTGCTTTGAATATGCAGAATTTATTATAAGCTTTATTTATTTAAGAAATAGTATAGCAAAAATAAACTTCACTTATCTAAATCTACTAACTATAATCAATCTTATTATTATCTTGTTTGGATTTACAGATATAAAAAATGATACAAGCTTCATATTGATTATAGCCTTATTTTTACCAATAGTCATAGTATTTTCTTGTTTTATTTTTCAATTTTTAGAACAAAGAATATTAAATTGGTCGGTAGAAACAGCCACTAGAGATGTTACAAATTTAGATATTTATTCACGCACTGTTTAGTTTTACTCACAGAATATAGATATGAAAAAGTATCTTTACTCTTATTCAGGCTTAACATTTGAAAGCATAGCTACAAGACATTTAGATTCTTGTAATGATTCAAGCTGTTTTTGTAGATCTACACTAGATTCTCCTTAACAAGAAAAAAAAGTATAGAGAAAAAAATTCTTAGATTAGTATCTTTTATCTCTATTTAATAGTTTTTTAACAAAGAGTAAAGTTAGCCAATATAAATTAGTTAGATTTTAGCTATTAGCGCTTCTTATAGACTCAATAAAATGCCCTCTCAAATCAAATATAGAGGCCATCCAACTTTCCCATATACACTTTTAGAATTTAAGCTTCAGAGAGAAAGTAATATTAAATGTTCTTTGCCAAAGAGCAAATGAGTTGTTTGAAAAGAATGTAATCTCTATTGAAAAATAGAAATAGCAATAAATAGGTGGTAATTTTTATCAAACTGAAACTGATCTCTACGATATAATTCGATTTGATTAGCTATTAAGTTAGTATCAAAAATAAACTAGAACAATATATTAACAAAGAAGAGACTTTTTCCTTCAAATATCATGTGACGAAGTCAATCTAATATAAGTCAAACAAAAAGGGGAAAATCTATTAATGTAGCTAGATTAGGTATGTATTTTTAAATTTATTTTTTTTAAATAATAATTTCTATTTTTTGTAGGTATATCTTCATACCTTCATACATTAAGACTTTTATTTAAACTCAAATTTTAAGATTTTTAAAACTTATTAAGATCTAATGGGTATAGGTCTAAAATTTGGAGGGAAGCTTAGTAAATGAGAAACTACAATATTTAATACTCATATATATTGATTTTTTAAAAATTCATTTTCTTTTTTAACACAATTGATTAAACATAAAATTTAATATAGATTATATTCTTATAACTGATTTATCAATTTTTTTATAAAAGATTGACTAGATAATTGAAGAGTTAAATAATATTAACCCACTGTCAAGAAGATGCTAGGAATTAACTTTGATTTATACTTCCATATTTGATATGAGGAAAAAAAGAATAAGAAAACAAGTCATCTAGCAAAGAAAAAGTGTTTTTCACAAAATAGTCAATGGAGATTAAAAAACTTTAAGCTTTTTTTCCTCGAAATCTTGCTGTCTTTTTGTCTCAATGCTAAAGCCTGTAGGAATAATAAAAAAATGTACAAGAACAATTTACAATGTATTTGAATTCGGATAACAGGAAGTAATAAATAGGTCAATTAATTCACTAATGCCTGATTCAATTTCATCTGTGCATGACAAAATCCTTAATAACTTTATTACAGAAGGATAAACAAAAAATATTATGACTTCTGATTATTTCTTTTTAGCAAAATCTGCTAAAAATTTCCTCCTCCCAATTAAGGCTACTATGAGATTAGCAAACTTAAAAGAAGAATTTGGTATTTCCTGCTTTTTAGAGAAGATAGAAACAAGTAATTAGTTCATTTTAATAGATGATAAACTTACATTAACTGGGAGAAGAAATAAAATTATAAATATGTCTCGAGACATCTATACCTAATGTTTTTCAACTATTTTTAGTACAGAAAAAGGTAAATCTTTAAAATAGTTATTTATTGATTAATTAAATTCAGAAAATTTAAAATACATTTAAGTAAAGAAACATCTTATAAAATATTAATAGGAAGTAACATTTTCAAAATAAACAACCGGGATTAATTTTAATTTTATAAAATTATTTTATGTTTCAAGAAAAATTAATAAATAAATAAATGAATAATTTTTGTAAAAAAATTTTTATCAAATAATAATTTTTTTATTATAATTTAAAAGAAAAATACATTTATTTTCTTAATTTTATTAAATGAATTTTGAAAAAAAATTATAAATTCTTCAAATGGATTAAGAATAAACTAATTAATAATATTTTAATATAATTAAAATATCAAAATTATTTTTATTTTTTAAAAAATTAAGCAAATTATTTTGAAATAATAATCTAATAAATACATATATATGAAATAGGTGATAATAAAATAGGTTAGATAGACTTGTATAAAATAATCCCTTTCATGCAAGCACTTGACCATTAAAACTGCAATGAATTAGATTATTTCTAATCAATTATGATTTACCCTTTGAATGAACACCATTTTAATAATATGAAAAAGAGAATCAAAATAACTTCTAAAAATGCTTAAGAGCTAGCTTGGTATTTAGTAATAAGCTATATTTAAATTTATATTCAAAAGAAATACTAAAAATATTTTTAAATTAAATCAAATTTTAGATATTTGCTCTTGCTTCAAATTGTGGTTTCCTAGATATTTCTTTTAGTGTGAAGAGACTTAAATCTAAATATGGACATTCATTTAAGTATATTGAGATTTAAAATATAAGAAAAGTCAAGAGACGTTTAGAAAAATTAGAAAGCTTGAACACTCTTCGAAGCGATTTAAATTAAATTATGAAATTAAATGTCTCAATAGACAATAAGACACTCTCAAAATCTCTAGGGCTTCTAGGACAATCTTTGAAGCTCTCCTTTACAAATAATGATTTTTCATTACTTTTTAAAGACCTCTCTTTTTCGAAAGCAAATTTAAGCAAGCAAGAGAATGAAGAGGAATAGAAATGGTAACTTAAAAAGAAAATGACTCTTTAGTCATTATCAAACAGAGATACTACAAATGCAAAAAGTAGTGCTGGAATTGATTTCGAAGATGAAATCGAAGATACTGAAAAAGTAGGCGAATAATCAAGCAAAAAAAACTCTCATAAATAATAATTTATAAAACTAAAAAATTTATAATAGGAAAATGAAAATAACAATAAAAGTTAATTCTAATTTAACAATGAAGATAAAACATTTATGAATACTTTTGATGACACTTATCATGAAATAATAGATGTCAGTCATATTTAGCTGAAAAAGAAATCAATTTAGGATCTGACTTCTACTTCATTTTAGTAAATAATATCGAAGTAGAAGCTTATCTCACAGAATTAACTTGATAATAGCTTTTTACCAAGCAGGAATGATTTAAATTAAAGCTATTTGGGAAGTTACATTGAAGCTGAAAATAATTCAATTCATATAAATACTCCTATATAAATTTAATCTTCAGCTTAAAAAAGCAAGAATAATTTTGTAGATGCTAGTTTTAGCAATCAACCTTAACACAATAGACAAATTGAGTTACAAAACGAAGATAGCTTTTAAAGAAATTTAAAAAATTTTGATTCTTTTCATATTAATCATTCAAGTTAAAATGATAGTTTTGGGGATTAAGGCAAAAAATTTAATAATTAAGTCAAAAAAAATATTGAAGAAGTTATAGATACTGCGAAAGATAGATACGAGCAAGCTACTTCTAGAAGCTAGGTAGGGCTTGGAAGTGTTACTGGCAGAGAATTAAGAGGTTATTAGGAAACAGATAATGATAGATTGTATTACTAATAAGAGTCTTAAACAAAAAGAGGTAGTTTTAATGCTTTGCATAAAGCAGATTATTTAGAATCAAACACTTAAAGAGAAAATAACAATAAAACATTATTTTAAGAGCAAACAGATAGAATGAAAAATTAAAATGAATTAAATGAAGAAGACAATTATGATTAGAAAAGAAAAGATGAGGAATGGGTTAATGAGATCGATTCAAGCTAAATTAATTTTAATAAAATTCTCAAAGAAAGAAAAAGCGCTTAATTTTTAGTGTTTGCTTCTAAAAAATCTTCAGGAAATTAATCTTAAGAAATGAATTAACAAAATCAAGATTTTCCCATAGATAGGTCAAGAAATGATAGTTTTTAAATGTTGCAATCTTTGCCTTAGAAGTAAAACACTTAGAATAATAGATAAAGTGTGTAAATTAATAAAGTTACCTCATAAGAAGCTATTAGTTAAATAGAAGGTACTTCTAGAAATAATTTTAATTTTGATTTTGAAGGAAGCACATCTCATAATTTAGATTAGGATTCATCCAGATTAGAAAAACATATTAAGCAATAAGTATTTTATTCTGGAACTTCTTCGAGTTTAACAACTTTGAAAAAATCACTTAAGAATAGCAACAGTTAAAAATAAAAGAAGAAGAAAAAGAAAACTGTTCAATAAAAAAAAGAAAAATAACCAGATAAATTAGATGGAAATGAATAAAAAAATTAAAAAGATATTAACGCTAACTAAGTCAATGCATTTGAAATAAAATAAGAAAATGATTAAAATACTAATTTTTAAGATAATAGTGTCCTAGATAATAATCTAGTTGCAAATCACAAAGAAAATCAAGAGCAGCTTGGTGATTAAAATAAACAAGAATCTGATGAATACGATGAAAGTTTCGAAGATGATGAAGAGATAGAATAAGATGATTTTTAAGAAGAGGAAGAAAAATAAATTGATGATGAATAACACAGAGAATAAAATTCACATTCTGAGGATATTAACAAAAAGAATGAAAATTCAATTGATAAAAAGAAATTATCGTTTGAGTCTGACAATATATCAGAAAATAGAAATAAAGACATTGAGTTAGTAGAAAGAATAGATACTGGCATGGATAGAGTAATTTTTATTTTTTTAATCAATATTTAACAGAAAAATAAAAAAATAATTAAAAAAGTCTTCTTCAACTCGTACAAGGAGTGATATGAGTGCAAAAAAATAAATAGTCTCAACTATTATGATGCAAAACTTTGAATCAGTTCTAGTAAATACAATAAAAATAATTGGCTATTTTTCTCTTCTTTTTATAATGTTTATTATTGTCTTTGTTTACTTCACAATTACTTCTAATCTCAATATAATGTAACAAAACCAAAACGTTATATATCTGGGACCTGGTATGGAAGAAGATGCTAGTACTATGATCATTTAAACCGAATTTCTAATTCAATATAAGGTACATATTTATTTTTTATTTAATTTTATAAAATTATAATTTTAAAATAATATTTTTTTATATTTCAAATAAATAGTTTATTTATTGCTAAAACAATTTAATTTAAATTTAAATTTTTAAAATTATCAATTCAAATATTATTATTATTTTTTTAAAGACAATTTTTATTTTAATAATTTAATAGTCGAACCTCTTTTTGAGCAAAGTACCTGATTCAAAGTTATCTGATTTATAGAAAGGAAACGGTGACGAACTAAGCTCAATCTTAGGTAAGATTGACTACATTTCAATAACAAGTCTTTCTTTTGCAGATGTAGTACTAGATTAAAATGATTTAAAAATACTTTCAACATATCAAAGTGATGGAAGCATAATGTATTCTGTAGAATCTACTCATTTTTATGCAATCTTATAAGCATATCTAGGGTTTATATAATATTCTAACTCAGTAAGTAAAATATCTCGACTCTATGTAATTAAAAACTTTTTAGAAATTATTGATATTTTTAATGATTTGAGGACAAGTGCTTTGAATTTAGCTATAGATAGCGCGGATTCTACAGAGACAGTTCTCGTTTACACTTTTATTATGATCATGGTAGTTGCTTTCATCACTATAGGAATGATATTTCCAATTTACAGAAAAGTTTAACTATCAAAGGAAGATACTTTAAAGTTATTAGCAACCTTCCCAAAAGATAAGTTAGAATCTATGATAATTCAAACAGAAAAAGTTATAAATTCTAATATATTTATCAAAAATTCTACTGAAAAAGAAGTCCATTTAAAGTCCAACATAAGATGGAAAAAGAGAACTATAGCAAATACAACTAAGCTTCCTAAGTTTAATTTTTTTGTTTCTTTGGGGTGCCTTGTTGCTTTTATTTTAATATCGTTATATCCAATCATAAATTATATTATAAATCATACGTATATTCATTAACTTTAAACATTCATCACAGAGCTTGGATTCATTCACAATGCGAGAGGTCATTCTGTTTTCGCTAAATCTTTGTTGTATATGAGAATATCAGCTGCAAATGAAAACATTATAGAAATAGCAAACAGTTTGGATGAGTTTTATCCTACATTAAATAATCTCAATTCGCAGGTTATTTAAAATTTACAATAAATCCTAAATAACTTCTAAGAGGCAGATAGGTTTAATTATGATCTTTAAAAAACATACGTTTATGATTCTTTAATTAAGGATATGTGTTAACAATTTTAGTTATTTAAAGTATTTGAATTTCAATATGAAAGACAAAACCCAAGTTTTTTAAATTTGAATGATTGTAGAAGCTAATTTTAGAACATTTTAGCTCATGGAATGATTTTGGGTAAATAAAATATTTCAATTAATAAAAACTGTTTTAAATTATTCAGGGTTTTTGATAGAGTTATCAAAATTGTCTGATTAGGAATTTATGATGATACTTTTTCGGAATTTTCAAAATTTTGATGAAGAAAATCATCATAAAATAATTTTCTTTATTTATTTTTTATTTTAAAATAGAGATTATTGTGAATTTTAAGTCATAAATAATCCCTTACAATCATGCTAATTAATGAAATCATTATTTTAATAAATTTTTATACAAAAATGCTAACTAAATAATATTTTTTTAAACAAATAGAGCTTCAAAAGCTGTTTTAGATATACAAAGATCTATTCTATATAGCTTAGAATTCTAACTTTACTTAAAAATTTTAAGAGTGGGATGCTTAATATAATTTTAACTAGCTAGATGATTTGCAAGAGTTTTAATCTGGGGCTTTTGAAAATATCTTTCTGTTTCAATAAAGTTAAATGAAAAATTTATTTAACTATCTTAATAATATACAAACTGCTTTACTTATCTATGCAATTATAATTATTTTGCTCTTGTTCTTAATAGGTTGGATTAAATTTGTTACATATGTTTAAGCTGAAATCAATCAAACTAAATTTATTTTCTCCTTATTCACAATTGATTCGCTTCTCGAAAATAATTACATTGCAACTTTCATTAAAAAATCAAGTAAAGCCAAATGAAAAATTATTTGAAGTAGAAAAAATTATTCAACAAATAAAGTTGATATAAAGTTTACAGGCAGACTAAATAATTTATATTAAATATAATTTTATTTTATTAAGTTAATTTCGTATTTTGTATTATCTTTAATTTTCTTTATTTATTTAAATGCTTTTAAACATAATTTCATCGAAAAGATCAACTAAAGCATCAAAATAATTTAAACTTTTTTTTGAATTAATTCAACATTATATTTAATTAATAATAAAATCATGAAAATAATTTTTCTTAAAAGTGTTTTGATAATTTTACTTAATTATTTATCTTTATTCTTAAAAATATTTTTGAATAAACTAAAATTTATTTTTCAATTTAATTTGTTTTTAAAAAAAGTTTTATAGTTAGCAGGATATTTAAATTTACATAAAATATAGATAGTATACTAATCAATAGTATAAAATATTTATATACTATAATGTTGTCAATATTGATCAAAGATCGATCCACCTTATATGGTTTTTTTATATTCATTTTTTTTTTTTCGAAAAAAAAAAAATTTAAGAAAAAAATGCCTTAATTAAGAAGCATTTACAGTATGTGATATTGTTCTTCCTCCAAGACCTGACCTTCATGAGTTCTTCTATTTTATTCTAACATGGAATCTGTCTTTTTCTAGATCATATTGTATTCATTTGTTGCAGATTTTTGTTGGCCTTACTTTTATTTGATGACTCTTCTTAAGTTGTTTATAAAAGAAGATATTTGTTAACTTTAAGAGTTAATCTTAAGGATGTATTTTTTTTCTATTTTCAATGTGAAATTTTATGTCTTTCTCTATTATGAGGTATTTCACCAAAATTCTAATTATAATTTATTTAATCCTGGAGCTATATCTACATACACATAGGTAGAAACTAAAAATTTACACACTTTAATTTATTATTATCTTAAATCTTTAACTATTGTTTATATATATTATTATTAGTTAATAATTTTTTACCATTTTTTATTTTAATTATTTAGCTTTTACGATTTTCATCATCATCAAATAAATTATATATAATAAATTAATTATTTTTTGTATTATCTTCAGTTAATTTTTATGAAATGGAGTATTTATACATTAAAAATAGTTTCTAATTCTTAATTATTTTACTTTTAAAATGTAGCTATCCTTGGATAAGTATTTCTCAATAAGGAAGTGTATGCATATTTAATATAAAATTTAAAAAGGTTTTGAAATAGGTAGGTATGTATGTAGGTTTGGATTTGATATAAGAAAAAAATAAGGAAAAAATCTTTTTTATGAGACATTTAGTTTTTTAAAATCTCAAGTTTCAATTCAAATCTTAATTAAATTTTGAATTTGAAATAAATGAATGAGATTTTATAGAAATTTTTATTATTTAATTTCAAAATATTTTCATTTAATTTATCATCAAATTTAATAACTTTAATGAAACTCGTAGTTAATAACCTTGAATCTTGTAGAAAAATATTAAAAATATGGATTTTAGACAGAACTCTTACCTCGGTCGGGTAGACGTGATTTTTATGACTTTATGGTAATTAAAAATTTATGTTGTTTTAAAAAAGATTAATAAAAATAAAGACAGATTTTGTTAATTAAAATTAGATTTAACAAATAAAATAAAATGGAATAACAAAAAAATCAAATTGATTAAAACTTTGCCAAAGTAGAAATTAATCCATTTACAACACAAGAAATGCTAATTTAGTAAATGGAATAATTTTTAAACCAAGAAGAAATTTAATTAGCTATATTCAAAAGAAGCGATTGCAATATAATACTTGAAAATATTCTTTAGAAGTTAAAAAAATTGAATAATTTGAATATTTTTAAAATAACACTTTAGAATTTCAGAGAAATTGATTTTGATCATTTGTTTTCTCATACTTCAAATATAAGAAGTATTCGTGAACTTGATATTACATTATTTAAAGACATTTAACAATTCAAACCCATATCTCATAATGCAGGTCACTATTTATGTCAATTAAATGATCTATAGATTCTAAATTTATAGATGAATTTAAAAAGATTTTAGTATAGCGAATAAACTTTTAACTTTTACGAAGTTTATTAAAAATGTAATAAACTTAAAAAATTAGATTTTACAATTAAAAGTTCAAACTATAATACTTTTATATTTGAGTCACTTTTAGATGGGATTAGACTCATTTTAAATTTAGAAAAATTAAATATTCGTGTTTATGGAAAACTATGCTATAATTCTTTATTCAATAAGTTATATAATGAATTAAAAGATTTAAAAAATATTAAAAGTTTAGAATTAAGCTTTATTTGGTCATATGGAGCTAAATTTTAGGAATTTAAAAATTTGTTCTAATAATTGTCCAAGATTTCAAGTCTTGAGAGCATAAAAATAAGCATAGCATTAAATATCTAAGAAGTATAACAAGATGACTAATACGATGATTTAAAAAAAATTATGAGTGAATTCTAAAGCTTAAAAAAATTAAATTTCAATTTATGCTATTGCAAAAACATCAATCTTATCAAAATGCTTGAGTCAATAGCTTCTCTACCAAACGTAGAAGAGACTACAATTGATTTTTATGTAAATGAGACATCTTCATTTTAAAATAATTTATCAAATCTTGTAAAAGCTCTTTGCAGTGTGCAGAGTTTAATAGCATTAAACATTTACTTTTCAAGTATTATTGAAATAAATTTTGAACAATATTTGAATTTAATAAGTGAATTAAAGAACTTATAGAAATTAAAAAAGTTGACTCTATACTCATAAATGAATAGAAATTAAAAAACTATTCCACATTTGAATTTTGATGATTTGATTGAGACAGTAAAAAAATTAGAAAAATTTGATTTTACTTTGAATGAAAATTATAATTAAATAAACATAGGCAATACATTTTTGAATTTATTATCGCATTCTCTTTAACTGAAGGAACTTAATATATACTTTGGGTCTGATTATTACCTATCAGATCAAAATTCTAATAATAAGCAGCTTGTCTTGAAGGATATTTTGTAGGATAAGCAAAAATTAGAAAAAATTAAATTAAATTTTAATAAAACATATTCAATTAATAATTAAGACATTATTTAATTCTTTAAATCCTTTTAGACTAACTCATAAATAAAATATATTCAACTAAAGTTCCCAAAATAAACAGAGTACGATTTTTTATTTTTAGATTCTATGAGTTAAGGCTTGAGCTCTCTAAGCAATCTTTCTGACTTATCTCTTGATTTTAATAGAATAGATTAGAACTTTGACGATGCTGGTTTACTTTAGATTTCATCTACCATAGGAAAATTAGTTGCAATTAAATTTCTTAATCTTGTTTTTCATTGCGATTATCTCTAATCAAGTACTTTTAAGCATATTCTTTCACAATTCAAAAATATGATAAATTTGAGACAATTTATATTTGAAATGAAAACAAAATTATTGAATAAAGATAACATAGATACAAACACTATTTATGATTCTTTTGAATTACCTAAAAGTACAGAATTTGTCACTCTTTTTTTGGATGATGGAGATCAAAATTTTGCTAAGATAAAACCTATATTTGAAAATTTTTTAAATTTGAATCAATTATTTTCACTTAATTTACATTTGGGTAAATTTCTTATGAGCTAGAGCGAGTGGATAAAGGTGAGGAATTATTTTACTTAGCTTAAGTTGGTTTAAAGGATTAGTTTACAAATATATGATTTACAATAGATCTGTTTGATTTCTATTTTTGATGACTTACCTTACTTATAAAACCTTGAGCTTAAAGAATACAATTATCAAAATACCTATAATAAGATAAGTATAAAGAGAAAATTTTGTCATAGCTTTGACCAAATTAATAAAAATAAAATTGTCAGCTATAATGGATTCCAAAAAGAATAAATATCTGAATTCATTCTATTCGAAAATTCATATCTATTTTTAGAGAGCAGATAGACAATTCAATGGTCCTTTTAAAGCTTATGTATTTTGACCCATTTTAATTTAAGTATTTCGTAAAATACAAATATTGATGAAAATTTTATTTGTTGCTTATTTTAGAGCATGAAGCTCATGAATAAATTAGTTGAATTAAAATTTGAAGTAAAATAATAGTCAAAATTTCAAAATTAAAGTCTCCTAAAATTTGGTGAAACGCTCTCATATTTAACAAACCTTTAGTCTCTAAAAATTGCACTATATCAAGATAAATTAGAATGGAATAAAGATAATTGTTTTTTATAAGGAATTAAAGAGCTTAAAAAATTAGTATGCTTGAGTATCTGCATAGAAAACTAATTATAAAATTGTTAAATATTTGATGCAGTTAATGAATGTGTTGAAAAATTAACTTTGCTAAAAAGACTTTCGTTAAAAATATAAATTTAAGAAAATCAAATATAAGATGTGGTACCAAAACTGTAATGGTTATTCAATCTTTTAAGAAAATAATTAAAGTATTTATCTCTATAAAATGTAGATTTAAGCTATTCAGAATATAAAACTTTCACTAAATATTTAAACAGTCTCTAAAACCTAACATATATCAAAATTGACAAAACTCCAAAGTAAAAAATCTATAAATTACCTAGACTAATTATACTCAAAAATGTGTGAGAAAAGAATGAAAAATTAAAAATATTAAAATAATAAATATATTTACTTTTGGATATGTATTGTTTAAAACATTTGAATTTTATTATTAAATTTTGATATTATAGCACTCACTTCTAAGAATTCAGGAAACATTAGAATTTAATTCCTGGATTTGCTTTCAAATTGATTAGTTAAATAAATAGTTTTATTTTAATTTTTATCATAAAATATTTGTTTTATGATTTTTTAATTTAATTAATTATTTAATTTCAGATTTTAAATTCAAATAGATTTTTATTATAATATTATATTCTTAATTACTTTAAAAGAAATATTAATTATTTAATATATAATATAATTTCCATATTCTTTAAGAAAATTATTAAAAATTAAGAAAAATTAATACAAATTTTTTGCTCTCTTAAAATTTTAGGTGTTAATTTAAATTCAATGTAGTTTAGGAGAACTTACAGGATGTATATTCAAAATTTACATAAAATTTTATATTTATATTATTAAATGCAAGAAAAAAATTTAGAGGACTGTTTTTATAAATTTCCTCTCACTCCACTTATAAGCCAAAGAGCTTTGAATTTAAATATATCCTTAAAAATATGCTTTTTGATTATTTTTTCTGAAAATCCCCCATCTATTTTAAACTTTTAAACACTGGTTGTAAATAATAATTTTAATTTAGATTAATTTTTATGTATTTTTGATATTTATTAAAAGAAAATTCACTTTTGCAGGCAAAATATATAAATTATAACATGAATTAAAATAATTTTTATAATAATTAAAATGAGATAATCAAAGTATTTTTGTAATTTTATAAGAGCTAAAATTTAAAATTTAATTTAATATTCATCCATCAATTTTCGTTTAACTTATTTAGTGAATTTGATTGGTTTGTTAGTTATCATCAATATTGTTATCATCGTCTTGCTCAAATTATATCAATTAATTTGTAATATCTTAATGTTAATTATCATTAAATTAGTTTTAACCTAATTATTATTCAGTCTATTTCGCTTTTTCAAATGAAATTTCATTGATTTTTGGTACACTTTCTTAACATTTTTCTTAATTTTAATTTGTTTAGCTACTAGATGGTGAGTTTGACTCAGTATTACAAATATTTTATTGTCTTTATTTAAAATTTTAGAATAAGGATGGATTTAAAATATTATTTTAAGATGGAGCTATTTAATTTATTCTATTGAAAGATGTATTTTGTTCTTTTTTGAGTTGCTTTTACTTCATCCTAATAGTTTGTTTATTTGTTTTTAAAACAAAAAAAATATTTTGTTTAAATTCATAGTAAATTTAATTTAAAAAATTTCAAAATATTTATTTAAATTTCTTTACATATAAGCGATCTCGAAAATATTCTTCATTTCACTTCCTAACTAATCTATTAATTTTTTGTTGAGTATTTTCTCCACCCTAGATTTATGTTAATTTTAATATGAATATTGATATTCCTATTTCAATAAAACTTACTCTGAAGTATCTTGTTACATAACAATTTTTTCATAGCAATTAAATAATTATTAATAATCTGATATATTCTTGTTGCTTAAATTCTCCTTGAATTTCATAATAGCTTTGGTTAATATAGCAATATTCTTTATATTCAAATTAAGCTTTTTTGTTTTTCTTTTATTTAATCTTGATAAATTCATAGGTTAAGAATTATTAATATTTCTTAAAGAATTTCTGCTCAAAATTTCTCCTTCTTTGTTCAATTTTATTAGAGGCTTAGGGAAAAAGTTAAACAGAACTTATTAATCATGAGAAAAGAGCAGATTCTTTAATTTGTCAATTTCTTTCTAACGCTCTAATATATTGAATATGTCCAAATCTTATTTAACTGAATCTATTGCTTTATTTAATAAAAGCACTTCATAAGTATTGTAAAATTTTCCACAAGATATTTTGTTAACAAAATATTTTAAATTGAGCTACAAGCTTCTATCTCTCTAAACGATGTATTTAAGCTCTTGCTCTAAAAACTATTTATTCTCAGAGGTGAAAGATTTTTCTTACCTCTCTTTAGTGTAGTGGTTTAAGACAAATGTCTAGGTTAAATTCTACTCTTACTCATTAATTCTTTTGTTTACATTTCCCTCTGACTATATCTCAAATAAACTAATTCTATTTGGAGTAACAATTTTATTTAAATTATTTTTACTGAATGTTTTTTCATTCGTAGCTTGATCTTTTTACTAAAATTAAAACTAATTATTTATCTTTGAAATATCTATCACTTTGTCTTCCTCTTACTTCTACAAATCTGATTCTAAAGAATTTCTTTACTTTTTATTCTATTCTGGCTCAATAGATTATAAATAACAATTTTAATCTAGGTTTATTAATGGACTATCTTTATTAAGAAATTTTGAATTGTTGCTATTCCTTTATGTGTAGATTGGCCTAGTCGAATCTTATCTTTAGCTTAATTAATTCTCCTAGTTAACCTCTTCTTTAGGCAAATTTATCTAATTTTCTTCTTTTTATTCATTTTAGTTGATAAAGCATGGAGACTATCTATTTAAGCTTTCTTTTTTGAACAAAGTACTATTTACATTTAAGCTTCCTTTGTTGTTTTAGCTTAGAATTCCATTTTATTATAAAAAGCTATTTCTTTTATCAAAATTTTTAGGGGAATCTTGCATTTAATTTATTTTTGTATTCTAGAACTGATTTAAACGCGTAGTAAAATCTCCTTCTGTCAGAATTTTTGCATTAATATTTTAAGAAAAGTTTGATTTAACACTTTGCCTGGATTGAAAAGAGTTGTTTTTTTTAATCACAGGTTTATAATTAGCTTCTGATTTATTTTAAATGTCGAAATCATATAGTTAATTTGCTAGTTCAATATCATAGATATGCTCATTCACTTATCCAACTATTAAAGTGTTTATGATATCATTAAGAATATAATTAAATGAATAAATATACCAATTATAGCTGAGAACAAAAGGAATATTTAACAAAATCCACCCATGTAGCTGATAACTTGATCTATTTTAAGAAAAGTCCTTAAAGCAATCGTTGAAAAATTGCTCCTCAAAAAGAAAATTTCTGCATATTTTGTAAAATTTCCAACTGCAAACTATTGCTTATAGTCTCCTTGCTTAAATGAAACAAATTTCACCTCCTAGAAATCTTTAAAAAGGGTGACACTCTCGTCTGTTCTAACTGTTTGTTGATTAAGCATGATATTTGCTGTAGTGTACATCTTTTTAAATTAATAAATTCATAATTATTAAGAGCAATAAAATCTTATTTTACTTATTGAGGTTACACATTAAATATCAAAGAATCTTAAAATGTCTATATTGGTGTATCAGAGCTTTCTGGATTTAAAAGTGTATTTGAAAAAATAAATCTGATTCTAGCATCCTCAGTCGTTTTATATATATTTTCAGGTGTATCACATATGGGTTTCCAAGGCTCTACGGGATCAGTCTGGTTTTCACATTTACTCAAAATAAATTTTATATGATAAAAATCTTTGCTTTCGTATCTCCCACCAATTTTAAAGCTCTCGCCTTTCCTATTTTAAGATAATAAATATTAATTGTTATTATTGACTATAAAATAATACTAAAGACAAAGGTAATCATCCAAACCAGATAATTAAAAACCCAATTTCCAATCAATATTATAATTAGGAAGATTTTCAAAATGCTCTATGGTGCAGGGTTCTAAAGTTGCTGGAATCTTTTGATTTTGAGTTATTAAAAAATTTATTAAATCGATTGAATTATTATCAAAATAAAATTCAAAAAATTAATCTATCTAATTTTTGTAAAATATTCACAAAAGGTTTACTTTCTATTATTCTAATGTTCCGTTTTCGTGTCTAATGTAATGTCTCTTTTCAAAAGTTATGTTCATCTTTGGTCTTTATATATAATTATCTTGATCAAATTTAACTGCAATCATCATTTGATTGTACCCTACTTCAAAAATATCAGGATTTGGGTCATAGTTTACAGAGTCTATCACAGATACTTGGGCTTTTTTTTGTTTGAAATTAATATTTGAGTACATATTTTAGTTTACATTATTATTTTTCTAAATAATCATTACTTTTTTAAATTAGTGTAAGGACCTATTTTTTTAAAAAAAAACTATCATCTAAAAAAATAAAATTGAAAATTGATATTAAAAATCTAGAAATAGTAATCAAGATATTAATTTACATTATTGAAAAATAGCAAAACTAAAACTAATATACAAACTATGGCAACAAAACCTCCAAAAGCAGATCTAAATATGTTCTGTTTTTTATAATTTAGACCTATTTCGCTTCCAAATATGTCTAATTTTTTGAATGACCTTAAGCATATTTTATTCATCATGTATGTAAAACTAATAATAATTTATAAATTTTAATTGATATTTTTTTTTGAAAATATTCAAAGTTCTTTTAAAAAAATATTTATAAATTCATTATTATTTCAAATATTTGATATTAATATATATTACTATTAAAAATAACGATTAAGTTAGTGATATGATTAAATATACAGAATATATATTAATTATAGTACCAATAATATTCAAGTAAACTAATTAAATATTTATATATATTTAATTACCACACATTCATTACTCTCTTTTTAAATGAAAATATAAGATTATTCCAAATTTTCATTTTGTTTTTAATAAATAGTTCTTCTTACAAAATAAACATTTTAATAAAATTTTAAAGCATAATAATAACAATTTTTAAAAACAATGTTGTTTTCAGCTATTTTTTATGAAATTTTCTTCAAAAATAAAGATAAAAATAATTTATTTTCTAAATTTATGAATCTTTTAAATTTATATAATAATAAGGAAAGTTAAATATAAAAGCAACCTACTTTTCTTATATATTATTATATTAAAGATAATATTTTAAAAATTTAATTAAAGCAAGTCAATTATTTTATTTATTTAAGAGGGGAAAACACTCTAAAATAAAATTTTTTATTCTTGAAAATCAGTGATGAGAATTTTTGAGTTTTGTCGATTCAATATTTTTTTTCCATTTTTTTGTTATTTATAATATTTTAACATAAGTTTTTTTTCCCTAAATTCTACAACAAATAAATTGCATTTAATATCTAAAATAATTTTTAATGTCATCTAAATTTTAGCTAAAGGAGTTAAAGTTTTAAATAATTTTTAGCTAATAAAAATTAAAAATTTTTCTCAGTTATATTCAAAATAGAAAGAGTTTATTATATTAATTAATTAATCATAAAATTCGTGAATAAAATTCTTTTTTTGGCTATAAATCTGAGTAAAATTATGGAAGAAGGTTAGTTTTCAAAAATAAAGAAAATAAATATTTTTTTTATAGAATTTTTAAAATAAAAATTTAAAATCTGTTAGATATTTTAAATTTATTATTCAGTATATATAGTCTTTTTAAATAGAAATCTCTTGATATTCAATATTCTCTATTTTATTAATTCGTAAAATGCTATTTTACAAAGATAAAATTTACTTAAAACAAATGAAATATTTATTTTTTATTTTAATAATTAAATTCAGTCCTATTTTATTCCTTGTAAATGAAGTGAATTTTAAGAAAGATATATAAATGTATATTTAAAATTTCATATATTTGAAATTAAATGATCATTTCTTTGGCTTACTGTAAATTCAACAATAAAAATATTTAATATTAAAAGATATTAGTTAAAGTGAATATTCTTGGAATAAGATTATAAAATTAATGGTCTGTATAAAAAATAAATTTGGTTATTGCTAAAAAATGAATTTAGTAAAATTTTTGGTGAAATAAACTTGATTTATTTAAAAATAAAATGAAAAATTATGAATATTATTAATAAAAGTATCAAAATAACATCTAAAAATATATTTATTTATTTAGTATTTTAAGAATTTAACAATCTGTAAATAATTTTGAAAATTAAATATAAAGTTTTTTATTGATATTCATTTAATGCTAAGAAGATTTGAAATATTAATAAATAATAAATGGAGTAGCAAAATCAATAACAAAACAAAACAAATTCTTTATATATAAATTAATTTCTATCAGAAGAAAAACTAAAAAACAAACTCAAAAAAATAAAATAATTTGAAAAATTTTAAATATCTGTTGAGTTTTGTAAAGATTTTACAAAACATTTTATAATCATCAAAGACTTCTTAAATGATAAAAAGGAATTTAAATCTTTAGAAATAAATTTTATTCAAATATATGATTTGGTAATTGAAGAGTCTCTCTGCTTGTTTAAAGATATTTAATAAATAACTAATTTGAGTTTATCTTTCGATATGATGATACATCTTTCAAATATATAATAGTAAACTCTTAGTAGATGCCTATTAAGTTTTAAAAATTTAGAATCCCTTAAATTATCCTTTGAATTTTCACAAATCTCTACTGATGATAAATAGCTCTGTTTAATTGAATTTTATAAAAATTCTTTGAGTTTACGATCCTTAGATATATCTGTAAAATACTTAAAAAATTAGACTTTCTTTTTGAATCTTTTACTTCATGGAATAAGATACTTATCAGAGTTACAGTAATTCTCATTTGAAATAGTTTAAAGTAATTAATCAGCTACATACATTTTAGATATACTTGAAGAAGAGCTTTGCTAAAGTAATAATTTAACAGAATTAAGTATTGATTTAGGATATAAAATTATTATCACTAATAATTGCTTTGATTATCTATTACGCATCCTAAAAAATCTAAGTAATCTTTAAAAATTAGACCTAAGAATAAATTGTTATAATAAAGGGAATATTTAATAATTTCAACTATTAAATGCAGAGATTTACAAAAACTTTTTACCCAATCTTAAAAAATTAATAATAAAATTAGATTATATTTCAGTCTCACTCATTAATTTTATTTTATCTTTTTTTTCTTAAATCAATAATTTGGAATAAGTTATTTTAGATTTTTTGATAGATAGCGATTAAAAAAATACATTCTTAAATTATTATGAACAATAAAATAATTTCTAAGATTTAGCATAGGATATTTGTAAATTTGTCAACTTAGTAAATTTAACTGTGAAATTCTCTTACTTTTGCGAAATAAAATTTTACTAACTTATCAATTTTATAGCATAATTTAATTCTCTCAAAAAGCTAAATGAGTTAAAAATCGATGTTTCTAACATGAAAAACTTTTCTGAGGTCTACTAATTAAATGTTTAGTAATTTTTTGAAGTTATAAAGTAATTGAGAGTAATAAATTTTAAGATCTATTTTGATTGCACTTATTTTGATAATAGTTTTTATCCAAATATATTAACTAAGTCAATAAGTGTTTCAGAAAAAATAGAGGAGCTATATTTAGATATTTATGATTTTTCATCAACTTAATTAAAACCTTAATCAATGTAATTGTAAGATTTGGCATAAAATAAATTTAATTTGAAAGAGTTGAAGATAAATTTGGGCAATTTTTTAGAGATAGAAGAGAATTAGCTATTAAATTTGTTTACAAAATTAAAACAAAATAAAAATTTAGAAAGCTTGCAGCTAAGTTTTTTAAGTAAAATTAGTCTTTCGTATGAAAGTCTGGAAGAATTGAGTAATAATTTAATAGAATTAAAAAAATTAGATCAATTATAAATTTAATTTTAAAGTGATTATGCTCCTGTTAACGATTTAGGTTTTTAAAAATTAATAACTACAATTAATAATCTAAACAGTCTAACTTTTTTGGCAATATAAATAATTAAAGATCAATTCAGTAAAGAAACAATAAAAAATTTACTGGGGATCTTTGAAAACTTACAAAACTTAAGTAGTCTAACAATTAAAATCAATGGAAAAAACTTTGAAAGTGATGAAGAAGAAGCTGATTTTGGAAGCAGTTTTAAATTTCCTAAAAAGTTAGAAAGCATAGATATTTCTATAGGTATCAATCAAATTTATTGGAAAAATTTTGAGAATATGTTTTAAAAAATTTCTTAAATAAAGAGGATAGGATTTTTGTTTTTAAATTTTAAGAGTTTGCTGATGAAGAAAGAAGAAAGTATCCTATTTAAATAGTATTTGAGCAAATTAATGCTTCTTTAAAATATTTATATGGCAGGATACTCTTTCAGTATGCTTTACCTTGTATAACTATTTTAAGAAATATAAACTCTTAATTTTATCTAATTTGAAAATTCTATAAAATAATCCAATTATTGTACAGTTTAAGCTGAAAGGAAATTTTTAGTAATAAATTAATAGAATAATTCACAATAATTATAGAGTAAATCATAGAATTATCCTCAGAAAATATCTCTAAAAATTGAAAATGACTGTTTATTAACTGGTTATGATGTTTAAATCTCATAAAAAGAAAATTTAATTCCTTTCATATTTGAAAGCTTAAAATTTTTAACAAAATTAGAATTTACAATCAGTAAAAATAATCAGTTGGGTGAAAATAACTCCTAATTAATCTTCAAGAATTTATCCTCTTTGCAATTTCTCAAAAAATTAAATTTTGTAGTACAACCAAAGAATTAAATAGGAAATAAAAGTGTAAAATTATTTGGCTAATCATTACTGTAAATACCATGTTTGGAAGTTCTAAGTTTTGTTATTTATGAAGAAGGAAACAATTTAGAATGGTAAAATCTATATTTATTTTTAGAATGCTTAGGAATGCTGAAATAGTTAAAAAGTATATCTATTGAATTCAAATTTTAATAGAAGTTTTAAGAAGCAACTGAATAATTATAATTTGCTTGTGGGATTTGTAGATAATTGGCAAATTTGTAAAATTTATAAAATTTGTCTCTAATTTTATAAAATTTGATAATTTAAGGAGATTTTCTAGTAGAATTTAATAATTTATGCAATAAATTAAGTAAAAACTTGAGAAACTTAACTCTGTTATTTAATTAATAATAAGATGAAACAATAAATTTAATTTGCAGATCACTTTTGTTGCTACAAAATCTTTAATATATTTCAATTAGCCAAAAAAGTAAAATAATAAAAAAACTAAAGAGAGTTGTTTCTATTAAAAATTTTTATAATGATATTTATGAATTTGACTGATTTATTTTTGTTTTTATTATATATTTCACTTTTTGGTCTAAAATAAAGTTTAAAAATATCTATTTATATTAATTTTAGTTTTACTTTTTCTAATTCCTTATTAATATAAAATAAATGTATTATTATTATAACCTGACCCTTTTGACTGGGGTAGATTTTATAAAGTAAAAAATTAGTATCCTTTAAATTGTAAAAATAAATACAATAGAAATGAAAATAGTAAGGATTATATTCACAAAAGGATTATTTTTAAATAAGGATTATACTTTTCAATTATTTATTTTTATTTTTATTAAAAAGTTTGAAAAGTGTTAGTTATTACGATTGATAAAAAAAATTAGATTAAAGTTTATTAAACCTAATATTTTATATTTATCCAAAGAGAATGAGGGGGTGGGTCACTATAAAGTATTTTCTATATGGAGCCATACCTAGTACTGCTTTATTTCTAAATTTTTAATCAAACATTTAATTTTTAGATTTTAAAAATTTCTCATTCATTTTATATGTAAAAAAAAAAATAATTCAAGATTAAATATTTGATAAAAAAATTTATATAGATTTCTTCATCATAAAATTAAATCTTTGATTAAAAATTTTTTTTTTTTTCCTATCATGTTTCAAAACCTTTTTTATTTCTTTAAAATTTTTCTTTATTTTATTAAATAATTTATATTTCTATTAAATGTTTGTTTATTTCTTACTCAGGAAATAATTATTCGAGAATCTTTGTTTTTAAAATAAAATAAAATAAATAATTTTGAATATTTCTCTTTGGTCCTATAAAAGATTCATATGGCACCCCTAAATTAAGAATATGGATTTTTAAAAATAAATTGTTCAATAGTTAGTAGTAAATTTTTAGACAAAATATATTAGGTAATTAAAAGCATTGTAATATTTTATTATTTAAAAATGAATTTATAAAATTAGCAATGTAAATAAATATAAACCTTAATCAGACAAACAAAGAAAAGAGTTATTATTTTGTTATAAATAAGTATAATTTAAATATTGATTGTTTTTTGATCCATTCTTTATTGATTCACAATAAAAAATATAGCTAAATTAATTATTTAACATTTCATTGCTAATTAGATTTCTTATTTTCAATTTCTTTTTCTGTTGAGTGACTTTCATTATCTTAATTAGGATCATGCTCTACTTATTCAAATAATATTAAATTATCCATATTTTCTTCTACTACTTCTTCTTCAATATTTTTTTTATCCTCCTAATTTTTTTGAAACTCTTATTAGTTCTATTTTTCTTTATCTATAGATGTTTCACAAGCATTAGGTACATTGTTTTCTTTATATATTTAATTTAAATCTTAGTGTTGTTAACAGTCGCTACTTTCTGGTATGCTTTCATTTACACTCGAAGCATTTTGTTATTATATATTAATGTTCTTAAATATAGAAGGATTAAAAATATTATGTTGAGAAGGAGCTACTTATTAAATTGTTCTGTTAAATGAACAAATTTAGTCTTTTTCATGAGATTTATTTTTCATCCTGTTATTATTATTATTATTATTATTATTAAAGTTAAATAATTAGTATAATTTTTTTATTCAATAATAAATAATAATTACATATAAGCAACTTCAAATATTGTCTTCATTTCATTTCCTAGCTATTCAATTAACTTCTTATTTACAATTTTCTCAACTCTATTTTAAAAAATAATATTAATTCAAAAAATATATAGCAAAATAATAAATTACTCAGAGCTGTTTTGCTGCATAATTTTCTCATAACAATTAAAAAGAGCTTGATAGTCAGAAATTTTTTAGCCACTTAAATTTTGCTTGAATTTCATTACAGCTTTAGAGAGAACAGCTAAGTTTTTTATATTTAGGTTTAGTTTCTTTGTTTAATTTCTTTTTAGCTTTGTTAAGTCAATTGATTTCTATTTATCATCTTTCTTTAAAGAATACCTAGTTAAAATTACTTCATCTTTATTGGCTTTTATTAATGGTTTAGGGAAGAAGTTGAATAAAACCTGCTAGTCAGGAGTTAAGAATAATTTTTTGAATTTTTCAATTTCTTTTTAACGATCAAGGATATTAAAAATATCTAAATCTTGTTTGACCATTTCAATAGCTTTATTCAACAAAATCACTTCATTTGTATTATAAAATTTCCCGCACGTAATCTTGTTTATGAAATACTTTATATTCAACCACAAGCTCCTATCTCTTTAAACGATGTATTTTAACTCTTGTTCTAAGAATTATTTATTATCATTAGACACTTTTTCTTATTTCATTTTTATATTTTAGCTATGACCATAGACTTAAGTAAAATGTTATTCTTACTCATCAAATTTAGTATTAATTATTCCATCTGATTGTACATCAAATAAGCTTCCTCTTTGCACTGAAGAAATAGTATTCAAGTTATATTTACTGCTCGGTTTTTCCAATCTTATTTAATAAGGTTACTATTTATTAACCTCAATATTAATTTTTTCTATGTCTATTTCTTAATGCTGATCTTAATCATACAATTGATGATCTAATTAGTGTTAACAATTCTTTAACTATTGTGCATAATTAACTTATGAAGAACCATTTTTATCTAAATTTATAAGCGGGATCTCTCTTTGTGAGCTAAATTTAGAGTATTAAATAACTTTTGAATTATTTGTTTAAAAACAAATAGGTCTTATTGAATCTAGTCTTTAAGTTGAATAGTTATCTTCTTCTTTATGTAAATTTAGTATTGTTTAAGACTCTTATTTTGTTTAGTTTTGTTAGAAATAAAATTACTATTCTCTGTTTTCATTTTCTTCTTTAAGTATTGTTTTTTTTGTCAAATAATTTGTATTTTTGTTATCATTATTTTAATCTTGAATCTCATTTTTTTACTGTAAGCTATTTCTACCCTTTAATTTATGCGGAGAGTCTTACATTTAATTAAATCTTAAATTTTAGATCTAGTTATTTTTTGATGTGCAATCTCCTTCTGTTAAAAACTTCGCAGGAGTATTTGAGGAAATATTTTATTTAACACAAAGTCTGAAAGAGGAAGAAGTATTGTTTTTTGCAAGAGGTTTATATGGATTTTTAGATTTATCTTGAATGTCAAAATCATATAATTTATTAGCCAATTCAATATTATAGACATACTCATTAAATTAACTAACTATTAATTTATTATTTTTGTAAGTAAAGTGTAAAAATACTTAATTTATTTTTTACCTATTATTGCAGAAACTAAAAGAAATATTTAGCAAAAACCACCCATGTAGCTAATAACTTAATCTATTTTTAAGAAAGTTCTTTTAACGGTTGTCGAAAAATTACTCCTTAGAAAGAATATTTCACTGTATTTTGTAAAATTTCCTACTGAAAATTGTTGTTTGAACTCTCCTTACTTAAACGAAACAAAAGTCGTTTCTTAAATATCTTTAAAAAGAGTAACACTTTCATCTGTTCTCACTTTTTATTCGTTAAGCATTATATTAGCAGTAGTATACATCTTTTTTAAATAAATAATTAAATTTTTAGCAACTAATAATGTAAACTCTGCTTTTTAAGCCATAAGCTTAGATGCAAATTAAACAAATTAAATACAATTTTTATATAAATACAGTTTGCTTGCCCAATTATTTAACAAATTTACTGCTTAAAATAGAAAAGTTAAAGTATCTCTAAATAAATTAATATTACTTTTTGAGGCTAAACATTGAACACTAGGGTGTCTACAAATGTTTAAATGGAAGCTTAAGTACTTTCTGGATTTAAAAGAGTATTAGAAAGTAAAAATTTAATGCGAACATCTTCAGTTGTTTTATTTATATTTTCAGGTGTATCACATACAGGTTTCCATGATTCTACTGGATTTGTTTGGTTTTAGCACTGCTTCAATATAAATTTAATATGATAGAAATCCTTATTTTCATAAGTTCCTCCGATCTTAAAATTTTAACCTTTTCTATTTAGTAAGTTTAATTATTTAATGGATTATTAATTATTAAGGAAAAATATACTAAAGACAAAGGTAATCATCTATACCAGATAACTAAAATTTATCATCCCAATTTATATTATAATTAGGAAGATCTTAAAAGTGCTCTACTGTGCATGGTTCTAAAGGAACTGGGACCTTTTTATTTTTAAAAAGGTAAATTTAAGGCAGTTAAATACCCAAAATAAAATATGTAATATAAATAAATAAATAGTAATAGTAAATAGGAAAATTAAAATTACTTTCTATTAGTCATATGTTCCATTATCATATTTGATATAATGTCTTTTTTCAAATGTTATATTCATCTTAGGTCTTTGTATGAAGTTGTCTTGATCAAATTTAACTGCAATCATCATCTTGTTATATCCTACTTCAAAAACATCTGGATTAGGATTATAAATTATAGAAGATACTGCAGTAACTTAGGCTTAATGAGTTATTTTAAAAATAATTATCAGTATTTTATATTTTAGGATATATATATATTAATGTATTAGCTTTATTACTCTTTCCAATTAGTGTAAGAATCTATTTTTAATAAAATAAGCTTAGCATTTCATATTTATATTTATGATCAATTGATATTAATCAAAGAGTGCGAAATAAATAGATTATAAAAACAACAATCTTACATTGTTAAAAAACAGTAAAGCCAGCGTTAAAATGCAAATTATGGCTACAATTCCTCCGAATGGAGTCCTAAATAAGCTCTCTTTATTATAATTTAGAGTAATTTCACTTCCAAAAATGTCTAATTTTTTGAATGAATTTAAGCACATCTTATTAATCATTGTGATATGATAATTATTATTAATAATACTGAATGAATTCAAAATATGCTTTTAATTAATTATTTACAAAAAATTTTATAGATTTATTTCAAACATTAATTATTAATTACTTTTTGTGATAGCTGTTTAACATTTATTGGTTTATTTATATTCCATTCATTAAAAGTAAATCATTTATATATTTACATAAACTTTAAAAAAAATAATTGATATGTTTATTAAGTAAAATAGATAGATATTGCTTTAGTAACTATTTATTATTTTTTATTTTAAGAGTCTATTTTAAGACACACACATTACTTGCTAGTTTAGAACAAATTAGAAATATAAAGAAAGTATTTATTTAAAATTAAAAAATATATTTTAATTAAACTAACAATCCTAAATTTATGAAATAATTTTTACTTATTTATTTTTCTCAAACACTCACTTTTAATTTAAATATTATAAATATAAAATTAGAATTCATTTTAATAAATCATGTTAAATTAATAAATTTTAATATAAAAAATTATATTAACAATTGTTCTTAGTTTTATTTGAAATGAAAATGGGGAATTTTTTCAAAAATAATTTTTTAATATATTTAAAATTTTTACTTTTAAATTTGCACATCAATTTTGAAAATTAAAAATAAAGATAAATAAAAAACCCTCTTTTAATTCTAAGAAGATTTCAAACATTAATAAATAAAAAAATGGAGCAACAAAATCAATAACAAAACAAAATAAACACATTATATATTAATGAATTTCTATCAGAAGAAAAACTAAAAAACAAACTCAAAAAAATAAAATAATTTGAAAAATTTTAAATATTTGTTGAATTTTGTAAAGATTTTACAAAACATTTTTTAATCATCAAAGACTTCTTAAATGATAAAAAAGACTTTAAATCTTTAGAAATAAATTTTATTCAAATATTTGATTTAGTGATTGAAGAGTCTCTCTGCTTGTTTAAAAATATTTAATAAATAACTAATTTGAGTTTATCTTTCGATAGTATGATACATATTTCAAAAGTATAATAATAAACTCTTAGTACATACCTATTAAGTTTTAAAAATTTAGAATCCCTTAAATTATCTTTTGAATTTTAACAAATCTTTATTGATGATAAATAGATTTGTTTAATTGAATTTTATAAAAATTCTTAGAATTTACGATCCTTAGAAATATCAGTATAATATTTGAAAAAATAGACTTACTTTTTGAATTTATTACTTCATGGAATAAGATACTTATCTGGGTTACAGTCACTCTCATTTGAAATATTTTATAGTAATTAATAGGCTTCATACATTTTAGATATACTTGAAGAAGAGCTTTGCTAAAGTAATAATTTAACAGAATTAAGTATTGATTTAGGGTATAAAATTATTATATCTAATAATTTCTTTCATTATCTATTACGCATCCTAAAAAATCTAAGTAATCTTTAAAAATTAGATTTGAGCATTTATTGTTTTAATAAAGGCAGAATATAATAATTTCAATTATTGAATGCAGAGATTTGCAAAAATCTTTTACCAAATCTTAAAAAATTAAAAATAAAACTAGATTATATTTCAGTAACTCTCATTAATTTTATTTTATCAATTTTTTTGAAAATCAATAATTTGGAATAAGTTATTTTAGATTTTTATATAGATAATGAGAAATAAAATATAATCTAATAAGATTAAGAAGAAAAAAATAATTTCCAAGATTTAGCAGAGCATATTTGTAAATTTGTCAATTTAGTAAATTTAACTCTGAAATTCTCTTACTTTAGTGATTTAAAATTTTATGAATTTATCAATTTTATAGCATAAATTAACTCTCTTAAAAAGCTAAATGAATTAAAAGTCGATATTTCTAACATGAAAAACTTTTCTCAGGTTGACTAGTTAAATGTGTAGTAATTTATTGAAGTTATAAAATAATTGAGATTAATACATTTTAGGATTGAATTTGATTGCAATTTTTTCGATAATAGTTTCTATCCAAATATACTAGCTTAGTCAATAAGTGTTTCAGAAAAATTAGAGGAACTATATTTAGATTTTTATAGTTTTTCATCAACTTAAATCAAACCTTAATCCATGAAATTGTAAGATTTTGCATAAAATAAATTTAATTTGAAAGAGTTAAAGATAAATTTGGGTAATTTTTTATAGTTAGAAGAGAGTTAGCTATTAAATTTGTTTACAAAATTAAAGCAAAATAAAAATTTAGAAAGTTTACAGCTTAACTTTTTAAGTAAAGTTAGTCTTTCTTACGAAAGTTTAGAAGAATTAAATAATAATTTAAAAGAATTAAAAAAATTAGATCAATTATAAATTTAATTTTAAAGTGATTATGCCACTGTTGATGATCTAGGTTTTTAAAAATTGATAACTACAATTAAGAATTTAAATAGTCTAACTTTTTTGGCAATATAAATAATTAAAGATCAATTCAGTAAAGAAACAATAAAAAATTTACTGGGGATCTTCGAAAACTTACAAAATTTAAGTTGTCTAACAATTAAAATCAATGGAAAAAACTTTGAAAGTGATGAAGAAGAAGCTGATTTTGGAAGCAGTTTTAAATTTCCTAACAAGCTAGAAACCATAGATATTTCTATAGATATCAATCAAGTTTATTGGAAAAATTTTGAGAATATGTTTTAAAAAATTTCCTAATTAAAGAGAATAAGATACTTGTTATTAAATTTTAAGAGTTTGCTGATAAAGAAAGAAGAAAGTATCCTATTTAAATAGTATTTAAGTAAATTAAAGCTTCTTTAAAATATTTATATGACAGGATATTCTTTCTGTATGCTGCACCTTGTATAACTATTTTAAGAAATATAATCTCTTAATTTTATCTAATTTGAAAATTCTATAAAGTAATACAATTATTGCACAGTTTAAGTAGAAAGGAAATTATTAGCAATAAACTAATAGAGTAGTAATTCATAATAATTATAGAGTAAATCATAGAATCATCCTCAAAAAATATCTCTAAAAATTTAAAATGATTGTATTTTAACTGATTATGATGTTGAAATCTCACAAAAAGAAAATTTAATTCCTTTCATATTTGAAAGCTTAAAATTTTTAACAAAATTAGAATTTAAAATCAGTAAAAATAATCAGTTGGGTGAAAATAATTACTAATAAATCTTCAAGAATTTATCCTATTTGCAATTTCTGAAAAAATTAAATGTTGAAGTACAATCAAAAAATTAAATAGGAAACGAAAGTGTAAAATTATTTGGCTAATCCTTAATCTAAATATCATGTTTGAAAGTTCTAAGTTTTGTTATTTATGAAGAAGGAAACAATTTAGAATGGTAAAATCTATATTTATTTTTAGAATGCTTAGGAACGCTGAAATAGGTGAAAAGTATATCTATTTAATTCATATTTAAATAGATGTTTTAAGAAGCAACTGAATAATAAAAATTTGCTATTGAGATTTGTAGATAAATGGCAAATTTGTAAAATTTACAAAATTTATCTATTATTTTAAATAATTTGACAATTCAAGCAGATTTTCTCATTGAATTTAATAATTTATGCAATAAATTAAGTAAAAACTTGAGAAGCTTAACTCTGTTTTTTAATTAATAATAAGATGAAACAATAAATTAAATTTGCAGATCACTTTTATTGCTACAAAATCTTTAATTGATTTCAATTAGCCAAAAAAGTGTAATAATAAACAAATTAAAGAGTGTCGTTTCTATTCAAAAATGTTATAATTATGTTTATGTATTTGACTGATTTACATTTATATTTTACATTTTGTTTTAAAAAAATTTTGAAATATTCATTAATTTTATTTTTACTTTATCTAATTCCTTATTAATAAAATAAATGTATTTTTATTATTATCTGAATCTTTTGGCTCGGTAAAATTTATAAATTATAAAATTTATATTCTTTAAATTGTAAAATTAAAAATAAAGTTTTTTATTTACCCTCATTTAATGCTAAGAAGATTTTAAACATTAATAAATAAAAAATGGAGTAGCAAAATAAATAACAAAACAAAATAAACACATTATGTATAAATGAATTTCTATCAGAAGAAAAACTCAAAAATAAACTCAAAAAAATAAAATAATTAGAAAAATTTTAAATATCTGTTGAATTTTGTAAAGATTTTACAAAACATTTTTTAATAATCAAAGACTTCTTAAATGATAAAAAAGACTTTAAATCTTTAGAAATAAATTTTATTCAAATATTTGATTTGGTGATTGAAGAGTCTCTCTATTTGTTTAAAAATATTCAATAAATTACTAATTTGAGTTTATCTTTCGATAGTATGATACATCTACTAAATATATAATAACAAACTCTTACCACATGCCTATTAAGTTTTAAAAATTTAGAATCCCTTAAATTATCCTTTGAATTTTCACAAATCTTTATTGATGATAAATAGCTCTGTTTAATTGAATTTTATAAAAATTCTTTGAACTTACGATCCTTAGATATATCAGTAAAATAATTGAAAAAATAGACATACTTTTTGAATTTATTACTTCATGGGATAAGATACTTATCTGGGTTACAGTCATTCTCATTCGAAATAATTTATAGTAATTAATAAGCTACATACATTTTAGACATATTTGAAGAAGAGCTTTGCTAAAATAATAATTTAACAGAATTAAGTATTGATTTAGGGTATTAAATTATTATATCTAATAATTTCTTTCATTATGTATTACGCATCCTAAAAAATCTAAGTAATCTTTAAAAATTAGACTTGAGCATTAGTTGTTTTAATAAAGAAAAAATATAATAATTTCAATTATTGAATACAGAGATTTGCAGAGACTTTTTACCAAATCTTAAAAAATTAAAAATAAAATTTGATTATATTTCAGTCTCTCTCAGTAATTTTATTTTATCAATTTTTTCGAAAATCAATAATTTGGAATAAGTTATTTTAGATTTTTTGATAGATAATTATAAATAATATACAATCTAAGAAGATTAAGATGAAAAAAATAATTTCTAAGATTTAGCAGAACATATTTGTAAATTTGCCAATTTAGTAACTTTAACACTTAAATTCTCTTACTTTAGCGATTTAAAATTTCATGAATTTATCAATTTTATAGCATAACTTAACTCTCTTAAAAAGCTAAATGAATTAAAAGTGGATATTTCTAACATGAATAACTTTTCTCAGGTTGACTAGTTAAATGTGTAGTAATTTATTGAAGTTATATAATAATTGAGTGTAATACATTTTAGGATCTAATTTGATGGTACTTTTTTCGATAATAGCTTCTATCCAAATATATTAGCCAAGTCAATTAGTGTTTCAGAAAAATTAGAGGAGCTTTATTTACATATTTCTGATTTTTCATAAACTTAATTAAAACCTTAATCAATGAAATTGTAAGATTCGGTATAAAATAAATTTAATTTGAAAGAGTTGAAGATAAATTTGAGCGATTTTTTATAGTTAGAAGAGAGTTAGCTCTTAAATTTGTTTACAAAATTAAAGCAAAATAAAAATTTAGAAAGTTTACAGCTTAATTTTTTAAGTAAAATTAATCTTTCCTATGAAAGTCTGGAAGAATTGAGTAATAATTTAATAGAATTAAAAAAATTAGATCAATTAGAAATTTAATTTTAAAATGACTGTGCCACTGTTGATGATCTAGGTTTTTAAAAATTGATAACTACAATTAATAATTTAAATAGACTAACTTTTTTGGAAATAAAAATAATTAAAGATTAATTCAGTAAATAAACAATAAAAAATTTACTGGGGATCTTTGAAAACTTACAAAATTTAAGTTATCTAACAATTAATATCATTGGAAAAAACTTTTAAAGTGAAGAAGAAGAAGCAGATTTTGGAAGCAGCTTTAAATTTCCTAAAAAGCTAGAAACCATAGATATTTCTATAGATATCAATCAAGTTTATTGGAAAAATTTTGAGAATATGTTTTAAAAAATTTCCTAAATAAAGAGAGTAGGATTCTTGTTTTTGAATTTTAAGAGTTTGCTGATGAAGAAAGAAGAAGGTATCCTATTTAAATAATACTTAAGCAAATTAAAGCTTCTTTAAAGTATTTATATGACAGGATATTCTTTCAGTATGCTGCACCTTGTATAACTTTTTTAAGAAATATAATCTCTTACTAATATCTAATTTGAAAGTTCTGTAAAAAATTTCAATCATTGCTTTGTTTCATCAGAAAGGAAATTTTTAGTTGAAAAGCATCATGTAATTAATTAATAGAATAATTCATAACAATTATAGAGTTAATCATAGAATCATCCTCAAAAAATATCTTTAAAAATTGAAAATGATTGTCTTTTAACTGATTATGATGTTTAAATCTCATAAAAATAAAATTTAATTCCTTTCATATTTGAGAGCTTAAAATTTTTAACAGAATTAGAATTTAAAATCTGTAAAAATAATCAGTTGGGTGAAAGTAACTCCTTATTAATCTTCAAGAATCTATCTTATATGCAATTTATGAAAAAATTAAATATTGAAGTGCAATCAAAAAATTAAATAGGAAACGAAAGTCTAAAAGTATTTGGCTAATCCTTACTGTAAATATAATATTTGAAAGCTCTAAGTTTTGTTATTTATGAAGAAGGAAATAATTTAGAATGGTAAAATCTATATATATTTTTAGAATGTTTAGGAATGCTGAAATAGGTGAAAAGTATATCTATTTAATTCATATTTTAATAGAAGTTTTAAGAAACAACTGAATAATTATAATTTGCTTGTGAGATTTGTAGATAAGTGGCAAATTTATAAAATTTATAAAATTTGTCTATAATTTTAAATAATTTGACAATTAAATCAGATTTTCTCATAGAATTTAATAATTTATGCAATAAATTAAGTAAAAACTTGAGAAGCTTAACTCTGTCTTTTAATTAATAATAAGATGAAACAATAAATTAAATTTGCAGATCACTTTTATTGCTACAAAACCTTTAATTTATTTCAATTAGCCAAAATAGTAATATAATAAATAAACTAAAAAGAGTTGTTTCTATTCAGTAATGTTATAATGACGTTTATGAATTCGAATGATTTATATTTATTTATATTTTATATTTTACTTTTTGGTCTAAAATAAAATTTTGAAATATCTACATTAATTTATTTTTTACTTTTTCTAATTATAAACTTTTAAAAAAATTTAATATAAAATAAGAGTATATTAATCAAAACCAAAATATTTCTTCATATTTTTTTGAATTTTAATTGAAAAAAAATAATTTATGAAATCTTTTGAATTTATATCATCTGAAATGATTAATTGTTTTTACATTATATGTTTTTATTCTACTATAAATGTTTGATTATATATTTAATTTAAATAATTACATATATATTTCATAATTTTTTCATATGTTTTCATTTTTAGATCCTGTACACATTTAATCGCCTCTAAATTAGCTAAAGGTGCATTTGACATATTTTTAGTGATCTGCGAAATTTAGTTACCAGAAATAATACTAATTACAATTAGCATCAAATTCGTTTTAGCAAAATATGTAATTATCTTATTCATCATAATAAACTCCTTAACCAAAATGATTATATCCAATAGTACTTGAGGGAAACCTAGCTATAGAGTCTTTCCCCTTAAATACTCTAAAATTATTATCAGGACTAATAATTTAGTTAAAGTAGTTAGCGAAGTGTTAATTTCCAACTCTAGGTGATCCAAATGTGAACATATAATCCACTTAATAGTTAAATGTTTCAAATACATCTACAACAAATAAACTTGCTAAAGCTGCTCCTAAGCTATGTCCTGTGGCTACTATTTGGGCATCCTATTTTTTTATAAGTTAGTAATTAAAATGATTTTTTTGACATTTTGATTACATTATATCGTTATTTGTATTCTTAAATCAGCTTATTAGCCTGTGATTTCAATTTTTAATATGCGCCTAAGAATCCCTTACTAACTTTGCAATTTTGACAAAAAGGGTAGTTAATCTTAAGAATATCTAAGTCAATCAGCACATTCTTTTTGTCAGATAGTATAGATCCTCTAAAAACAACTAAAATCTAATTCTTTTAAGGCTAATATCCAATATAACCAAATAAATTCTATTCATAGTCATTCATAAATTATACATCTGACAATTCACCACTTCTTTCGCATATTTTACCACAGTTATATGGGCTTAAATTGTCTGATTTACAATAACTTGATAGCGAGTAAGCTGCTAATTAAATGCTCTCTGTTTCATTATATTAAATACATTAGCTCAATGTTACTAAAATAAGTAAAATTAGTGTTTTCATCATCTTGATCAAATGTCTTATTTACTATTACCTTAATGCTTAAATTTAATCAAAAATTTATATTAAATAGGAATAGCAATTTTTAAATGTAAAAAAAAATTGTTCTATTCAATATTTTTTTTAGAAGTTCAAGAAACTTTCTCACTTATTTCTATAAAAGTTCTAAATGTTTTCTGTTAATGTAATTGCACTGTGGTATATCAATTAATATAAATTAATATGTGCTTATTCTTTTACATAAATAAATTAGCTTTAATCTACTATAATCAAATAAAGATATTATATTAAATAAAATAAAAAATAAAAATAAATAATTTTTATAAATCAAAAAAATTCAAAAATTATTTTGTAATAAACATAAAGTATATATTTAATTTTAATTAAACTTATTTTTAATTTTAATCATATATTTAATATTGATTTGTATAAATATAAGAAAAGGATTTACCTTTACTTAAATGCATACTTTGTAGAGAATTTCTATTTTTTATTTCAAATAAATACTTACTTAAATTCTACCAGATATTTTATTTTATAAAAAATGTTTTGCATATCGTTTTTGTAGGGTTTGGTCTTTATTTTTTTGGGCTAGTTTAATTTGACATACCTTATTTATTAATGTAACTTAAAATTTTTAAATATTTTAACTAAATTTTAATATGTGGCTGGAGATGCTGAATTTATTTTAAGTTCTATGTTTTAAGGAATTTATAAATTTTAAAATACCCATTTACTCTCTATTTCTTTTTTCAAGATTGAGTATTTAAAATCTATTTTAATTCTCAATAATTCAAAATTTTTTTGTACAAGTTTTTAACTACTTTCTTGTAAAGATTGGTTATTATTCAGTTGTTTTTAGGCTTCTTGTTAACAAAATTTTATTCGATTTAAACCATTTCTTTTAAATTTTAAATCGAAAAACTCACTACTAAATAATTATAGAAATGGTAAATCTTAATGTAAATTCATAAGATAAAGAACTTAAAAGGAATCAACCATAATACTCAATTATTATAGCTAATATAATTATTTAAGAGAATTCTTAATGAATTATATATCTTCTTCTGTTAGCTCTATATCAAATATAACTATCTTAAGTTTTTCTAACTACTTTAGATGATGTAATTATGAAAAAATGTTTCTAACCTATTCTTTCTAAATATTTTTTTTCAAAATTTTTATATCAAATTCTACTATTTATTAAAGGCTAACAAGATTTTATAGGAAGACATCAGCTCCATTAATAAAAAATTAATTGCTTTTTTAAATCGAAATATTAAAAGTTTTATCAACTTTTAATTTTCCAATCTAATTACTAAAATATTAAGCAGAATTACTATCAAAAGTTGACTGAGGTATTGAAAGTGACAATTTTTCAAGATTCAAATAATTTAAGCCTTCAAAAAAATGTTATATTTCTTATAAATTTTCTGATTACTCAAAATTCGAATACAAAGTGAGCTCTTTTAGGTTCTACAAATTCTAAAAGACTTATTTCAATATTAAAATTTCATCTAAATTCATTTTTTTTTCGTTTTTAAGGATAATTGCAAGTTTTTCAAGTTTACAAAGAGGTTTAATTGCATTGAAAAATTAGATTAAATTGAAATCTTTTTCAAATTAAGAAATATTAATTTTTAGTTTCTTCAAATTGGTACATTTTAATGTATCAAAATGTTCTTTTTAAACACTAATTTCTTCATTTTCATAATGATCATAAAAATGTGAAATATTTAACCTGCTTAATGATTTTATTTAAGATAGAAATTGATTTAAATTAATTTATTTGTAAGACTAATCAAATTAATAGGTTTTAACTTAAAAACAACATTCTTTTAAATTAGAATAGTAATTTATAACATCTTCACTTACCAAGCTTTCAATTAAATTCTATAGTTTTAAATCCTTTTTTGTGATTTCACATTCAAATTCATTTTATTTTTTCTCCTCATTTTCTTATTTTTCTTCTTTTTATTATTGATATTTCTTTTGATCTTCTATTTCTTAAAATATTTCTTTTTCAATTTTTTATTTTTTTACTTCTACTTCTTCTTTTTCTTTAAATTCTTCTTGTTAAGCTCCATCATCATTTTTTTAATCTGTTTTTTCTTGTTATTATTTTTCTTCTTCCTCATTCTCTGAATCCTTTTCATCTGATTCGCTCTCATAAATTTCCTCAGATATGTATGAAGCTTTAATAGAGAATTTTTGTAAATTTTTTAGTTATGTTAACCCTTACAAAAGTTGATAAAAATATATGATAGAAATTTCTCCCTATAATTTTAATTCTAACTCTTATATTCCTTGAAATTTAATCAAATTATTAGTAAATTCAGTAATTTCTTCAGATGTTTCAAAATAATCAATACACATTTTTAATTTAGGTATTATCAGATTTTATACATCTTTTAGTAATTCGAATATTTTTTAATAAAAATTCAAGGGTATAAACTTATCGAATTATATAGATAACCTTTTTACACTTTTAAATAAATGAATTTACTTGAATATTCCAAGAATAAGTAATAAGCGTTCATTTCTTTTCTCTAAAGCAAAATCCTTATCTAAATTTAAAATTTGTAAAAAATTATCTAAAACTTCATTTTCTGGATACTTCAAACTGTTATTTTTTATAACAAAAAAAAATTCTTACAAATCAGGCAAATTAACTTCATTAAAATTCAAAATATCATAGCAATCATAAATGTGTAAATAGCTATCTTTAATTTTCAGTTTTAAATTCTAAAGTTTATTCAAATTTTTAATTGAATTGATAACTTCCTTCTGAATATTTCTTTTTCCTATATATCTATAAAGTGTCAGTGATAAACTTTCCAATTAAACCAGTTAACAAAAGGATTTCCCTATAATATCTGGTTCTTATTACTTGATATTATTAAAAATGCTTAATTTTAAGTTTAGAGATCTAAGATGTTTTAATGAATTGAGACCTTCTATTAGTGCTTCACCATTATTTAATCCAAACTAATTTCCTTAATCTATTTTCAATTTAAGATGTTGAAGAGTTTTAATATTTTTTAGAGTTTCAAACATTTTCGATATTCCTCTCTCTCCTAAAAAGATATTAGCTCCTATACAAATTGAAATATTTCTTAAATTTTTCAATTATTAGCAATAATTTTAAACACGAGTTATTAGATTTTATGCGTCTTAAGTTTTGTTCACAAAAAATGAAATTTCATCTGAAAATTAACATTTTTATATTTCTATTTCATTTTTTTCTTATGGGATAAAATCTGTAATTTGAATTGTTTTTATTTATTACCTTTGCTCCATTATTTTTATTTTCGTTTTCAGCTTTAATTAAATCTTTGTTTATTAATAATAACAAAAATATCAAATATATTCATTTAATGTATTCTTTTATTAAATATTTTTATAATAAATTTCAGAATTTTAAAATTATTTTTATGTAATTTGAATAATTTAAATAAATTTATCAAAATTAAATAAATTTTAAAATAAAAAAATTGCAATAAATAAATCAATGAATTATCAATCTTAATTTTTATAAATTTGTAAATTATTTAAATCTTGCTAATTTTATTTATTTTTTATTTATTTCAATTTATTATTTATTGTTTTTCATTAAAAATAAAAATTCGTTTTAGACTTTTAAATAAATTTAATTAGAAATAAAAATGGGTAAATAAGTAAAATAAAATAAAATCGATTTAAGTTGTGATAGCAATAGCCAAAGATTGGATTACTAATTAGATAATTATTAGAATGTTAAAGAACTTACTTTATCATTAAAATATTTTTTAAAAGCACCAAATGAAATTAAAAAATTAGACGAATATTTAGAAAAAAACAAAGAATTACAAAATATATTTGTTTCAATAGGAAAAAGCGTTTTTTAAATTAATGACTATCTTTTTTCATTATTTAGATCTTTTCAATCAATTCAAAACTTGAAAAAAATTTATTTAAAAATTGATTAACCATCTATGCAGGTAAAGGATATTGGCCAGTTATTAAGTATAGGATTAAGAAATTTGAATTCACTTTAAGAATTAACTTTAGCCATTACATTTTAGCAAAAAAACGATTCATTAGATGACCATGGATTCAGTTTAAAAGAGACATATTAAAGTTTAAAGAACTTGGAAATTTTAGAAATTCAAATGAATTAGGCAATTCAATCTTCAATTTCTTGTTTTTCAGATGGAATCACTTATTTACAAAATTTAAAAAGATTCGCTATCAAGTTTAAATAGTGTTAACTTACTTCTTAAAATGGTATGGGTTATTTTATCAATTAGTTAAGAAATTTAACTTAATTGGAAATTCTTGAGTTAAACATTGAGAGATTTAACAAAATGCCTAAACATGTAATTGTGGAGTTATTTAAATGCCTTAGCAATTTAAACAATCTGAAAACACTTAAGCTTTATTTACAATACATAGAAATAATGAAATTGAATAACTTAGGAATTGAAAAAGCTATTTCGAGTCTTATAAACCTTGAACACTTGACTTTCAAAATTAAATTTGGATAGAATTTAGATGAAATTATTTCTTAGGTTTCTTGCTTTTAAAATTTAAAATACCTCAAAACTCTCAAATTTTTAGTATCTGTGTACTGTAATGAAAAAAGTAGCATATAAGAGGTATAGTTTTAGGAATTTGTTGATAAATTAAGTACAATTTAATCTATTGATTCCTTAAAAATAAATTTCAGATCTAACTTTTCAGTTTCTCAAAATATTTTAGAGATTTTATTCAAAGGATTAAAAAATCAATAAAATATAAGATCCTTGAAATTAAATGTTGATCACTAAGTACCTTTTGAAAATATTGATAAAGAAATGGTCTAAAAATTTTAGTATGTTATTAAATAACTTTAAAAATTTAGTTTATGTATCAAATACGTAGAAGATTAAGCAGAGGATCAATTCACATTAAAATTTTGGTCTGAAGTTCTTTAGACAACCAATAAAATAAAGCAGTTTTTTTTCAGCATTAACTCTAAAAGCAAAATTAACATAAAAAGTTTTGGAAATATGATGAAAGATTTGTCTCTATTGACAAGTTGCTCTCTAATTTTCCAAGAATCTTAAACTTGGAATGAATTCGATGCTCTACTAGCAGCTCAGAGTATTCAAAGAATGTAAAAATTAGAAAATCTAACTCTTTTTATGCCTACTTAACATTTAGAAAATATAGCAAGTCAAGCGCTAATACAGAGTTTGGATAAATTAACAGAAATTTAAAGTATAGATTTGAAACTGAAAAACCTCAGTGAGCAAGGATTTTAAAATTTTAGTATTATATTTTAAAATAAACTCCATCTTAAACGCTTCAATATCAGCATAGAAGATAGCCTATCTTAATAAAATCTTCTTTGTATTTTTGAGAGCATTAAAAATTTGAGCAGCCTAAAATTTTTGAAATTATAGCTGAAAGCTTAACAAGAAAGCTAAAATAATTAAATTATATTCAATTTATTGGCTGCAAGTATTTCTAACAAATTTTAGCTAAAATTTTTAGATATTAATTTTGAATCTCATAACTCTTATGCTTCTCACATGAGTGAATTATTTTTGCAAATATCTGGCTTGAAAAATCTATAAGAGCTTTGTCTATAACTTCATGATGCCTGTTTTACAGAATAAGATATGATTTTTGTAAGACAAAAATTTTAAAATTTGCATAAATTAATTTACCTTAAATTTGAAATAGGCTCTTACGTATCAACTTACATAATTAACTCGTTAAAGGATTTACCATTTTTAAATACAATTTAATTTGTTCATGATATTAAAAATTTCCATTTTTCGAGAGCAATTTCAGTTAAAAAATAATTAGAAAAGTGTAATAAGGAATAAAACTAAGTTGCCATTTAATAAAATGAAGATTTATTTAAAAATACTATAGTTTAAGTAAAATGCTATATAGAAAAAAGTCAGCAACTTAGTATCGATCAACTAAAATATCTTGATTATTGCTTTTCAACTCTAGATATTTTATCAGATGTTGTCATAAGACTTGTTTCTAGTAATTCTTTGGGCTAATAGGGTGCTCAATGTCTGTTTAAATCTATAAGGTAATTAAAATGCTTAAGTTCTTTATTATTTTTTATAGAAAAAGGAAACAATATAGGAACAGAAAGTGTTTAAGTTTTAGGTTAAAGCATCAAAGAATTAAAAAATTTAAATAGCTTAAAACTGTACTTTAACTCCTAAGGAAATGATATTTAGTGGTAAGAAGGTTGCTAAATAGTAGAATCTTTCTAGTATTTAAAAGAAATCAAATTATTGGAGTACGAGATATTTGATTGCTAAAATTACACAGTTGAGGGAATCAGGTTATTTTTTGATTCTGTATCTAATTTGAAAAAAATAGAATAATTAACTATTAAAATTGGCTTTTCTATAAGATTAGAAGACCTAAACTAATAAATAAGTGAAAGTTTAGTAAAGATGCAAAGTCTAAAATTAATAGGTATCGGATTTGAAAGCGTTCTAGATTAAACACCTAATTAATTAAAGCTTTTGTGTAGAACATTAAGAAAGCTTTAAAATTTAATACTGATAACTTTGATTGAAAATTATACAAATAAAATTCAAATTCCAAAAAACATATTTAAGTAACTTAAATTAGTGAGTATTAAAAAGCACTTTTTTGGTCTTGAATATATCAAATTATATTGATTTTACTAAATTTTTATTTGTAAAATAAATGAAGTTTTTATTTTAATAAATTTATTTGTATTTGTTTATTGATAAAAATTAATTTCAAAACTTTAAATTATATTTATAAATATTTATTTATTAATTATTTTATTTTTTTATTATTTAAAATCTATATCAAAAAATAAAATTAATTTATTTTAATTTACTAAAATTATTGGAAGTGATTAAAACCAACTTAATCATCAACATTTAATTTATTAATTGGGTTATTTTAAATACAAAAAATTTCTATTTAAATTTAATACTAACAATTAAGAAATAAAAATAATTTAATTCATGTTTTTCTTTAAAAATTTATTTATGATTTATTTATTAACTTTTAATTTTAATTTACATCAATAATTTAAAAATTAAACGAATTTATTTAAATTTTTTTATGAACTTAAAATTTTTTTAATAAACTTCATAGTCTATAAAGATTAAATATGATTAATATTCATAATAATTTTAACTATTTAGTATTCATAATTTACATAAATATTTTAAAAATTATACAAATTTCAAATTTATAATATCAACCTAAATTAAATATCAGCAAATTAATTAATTTTTATTTAAAAATATGTAAAATTAAAATTTTTGATATCAATCTTAAATTTCTTTGTCAATATCATCATCAAAAACAATTAATTAAATTTCATTTTCATCTTTTTGTTAGTTAAGAATAGGAAATTCTTATTAGATTTCTTAATTGTTATCTTAATTAGTAATATTTTATTGTACTTTATTTTCAATATCATTTTTATTTTGTACTGAATTCTAGATATTTTCATTTAATTTTTGTAATATTTCCTAGCATTAATTTTATGGATATTCTTCCTTTTATTAGTTTAGCTAATTTAACAATGAAACTCTTTTAGCTGATTTTTTTTACATGCTTTTTTAAAAAAATATATTGAAATAAATTCTAAAAAATAATTTTTTTACAAATCAGCAACTTCAAATATATATCTCATTTCATCTCCTAGATGCTCAATTAATTTTTTGTTTATAGATGATTAGTAATTGCTATTTATTTAAATCAAAATAACCATTTTTATTAGTATAAAAAAATAAATAAATTACTCATCCATGCAATGCTTAGCTAATTTAGAATAGTGGCTATAAAGCTTTTAATAATTAGTCATTTTGTCTTGTTATTTCCTAAATTTAAACACAGCTTGAGCAAATATACCATGTTCCTTAAATCCTATATTTAATCTTCTTTATCTTCTTTTTACTTTTGCTAGATTTCTACTTTGTTGTTGTTCATCATCTTTGATTTATTTGAGGTTAAGTAGTTCTGTTTCTTTATTTAATTTAATAACAGGCTTAGGGAAAAAGTTAAATAAAACTTATTAATCTTCATTAAAAATTAGATTTTTGATTTTATTTAATTGTAATTATCTATCGAGAATAGTAAAAATATCCAAATCTTCACTAACTAAATCATATGCTTTATTGAGCAATTAAACATCAGGTGTGTTGAATATTTTTCCACAAGTTAGCTGATTAACAATATATTTGAAAGTTACATATAAGCTCCTGTCTCTGTCGATTATAGTTTTAAGCTCATTTTCTAAAAATTAATTTGGTTATCTAATTTAAGTAAGCATCTTAATATTATTTTTTTAATTGTCACTTATGTATTTGTTCATATCTTTTTTTTAATTTTATCTCAAGTACTCATGCTTATAATCTAATTAATTATTATCAAACTGAAAATCTTTTTTCACATCTACTTTATTGGGTTATTGAGTCTTATTTTAATCTTAGCTTCCCTATTAATATTCCTAATTTTAATTCAAGCTATGTTTAATATCTTCTTTATTTTACAGATGCTATAAACTTTATTTATTTGAATTTATTTCTTTATTATTAGTAAAAATATTATTTTCTGATTAATTTAAATGTGTAATTTTTTTCTAATTTTCTTATTAGTTTAATATATTTGAATTTTAACTTTCTGGATGACTTTAATTTTTATATAATTTGAGATAGTTTTTGTTTTCTTTATTCAACTAATTTTATTCTACTTTTATTAAATTGTCCCAAATATTTTTAGGGCCAGATAATTAATTTGTTTTTATTAAACTGTTTTCCTGATTTTCAAATGAGACTTATTCAGTTATTTAATTATTTTAAGCATTTTATAATTCTAAATTTTGAACTTTTTACTCTTTCCTTGAAGATAATTCACTTAACTAAAATTAATTTATGTTGATTGTTTATTCATTTTAGTCTTCATTTGAAGGTTTAATTAGTGGAGCTGTATTTTTATTATCATTTAATATAGAAATTTCATGGTCTAAATAGCTTGTAGAGAACTTTTAGTGGCTTTATTTCTACTGATCTAGATCATTTATTTCTTTTACATCTTTCTTTTCCCCTAATTCATTTAAATTAATTTTTTGAATATTTTTCTCTTCTTAAATATTGAGTGGAGGTTTTTCATCTTCATCCTTTATGTTTGATTTATTTTTTTTAATATTATTTTTAAACATATTATTAAGAATTGAGTTATTCTTGCCACTGCTATTATCTAATTAGCCTAGATAATTTTTAAAGCTTAGGTTTTATTTTTTGTCTTCTTTCTCTAATTGTAAAGGGATAATTTTATTTCTTTCTTAAATTGGTTTTAAAGGTGAGGAACCAATTAAATAATTTATATTATCTTTTTTAAAATTTACAGGTGTTTGATCTATGGTATTATTACGAGTTTAAGAATTTAAAACATCTTTATTTTAGATAGTATCTCTCTTTTTATCCATCTTATACTAAGGGTTATTTTATTCATCATCTTTTGTATCAAAATCGTATAACCGATTTGCTAACTCATTGTAAAAAATGTATGTGTTGTATTTATTGACTATTATAATATTTTAGTTTAAAATTTTATCATCTCAAAAAAAAAAATTACCTAAAAAAACGGATATAATGAAGAAAACCTGGCAGAATCCACCAATATAGCTAATGACTTAGTTTAGTTTTAAGTAGCTCTTTTTTGCAATAGTTGAAAAATTACTCCTTGCAAAAAATATCTCACAATATACTCCAAAATTTCCAAATGAAAATTACTGCTGAACATCACTTCTTTGAAATTAAATTAGGCTTTCTGTATGTAATGACTCAATTGGGAATATGCTTTCATCAGTAATAAGTGTTTGTTAATTTAAATAAACATTTGCAGTAGTATACATCTAGAAAATTAAAATTTTATTTTAATTTTTTTAAATGATCATAACTTAAATTTACTTAAGACTATTAGACATTAAAAATTTAAGAATCTAAAAAGGATGTTATTGATCCTGTAGCTTTTTCAGGGTTTAAAATATTATTGGAAATTAAAAATCTAATCCTTGATCCCTAATTTTATTTTGATTTTATGATATCTGGTTGTTCACACGTAGGATTCCAGGGGCTATTGGGATTAGCAGTTGAATTGACACATTTACTTATAGAAAACTTAATAAATTGAAAGTCTTCGTTTTCATATATCCCTCCAACATAAAATTTTTAGTTTTTTCTATTAATTAAACAAGCAATTAATTTTGTGGATTAAATAGTTTGATAAGGATATATTACTATAGACAAAGAAAATTAGATATATTCTGCTGATAAAATGATTCAGTCCAATTAAATTAATAGCTAGGAAGATTAATGAAGTGTTCAAGCGTGCAAGGCTCTAGATAGTATGGTATCTAAATGAAAATTTTATTGAGAAAAAAGTCTAAATTTTTAAATTAAATTACCTTTTTTTAAGATACTGTACCATCTTTAGATCTATGATAAAGTCTTTATTCAAAGGTAATGTTAATCATTGGTCTCGTTATAAAATTTTGTTAGTCGTATTGCACAGCAATCATAAAATTATCGCTACTAATTTCGAGAGCTGATGGATTAGTACTATAATTTACAGACTACACATATGTTACTTGTGCTTTTATATTAATTTAATCATTTTTATTTCTTAAAATTAGTTGGAAACGTATAAAGAAGTTTACCTTTTTAGAAAAGATTAGATACCTATTTATTATTAGAAAGGATTGAGTAATAAGTATAAGAATAAATATAATAGATAATTTGATGTCTGAAAAAAATTACAGTAGAAAAACAAAGAAGAGATAGGAGAAACAAGCAAACAATAGTTGTAATCCCTCCAAAAGATGTCCTAAATGAATTTTCTTTATTATAATTCAAGCTTATTTAGGTTCCGAAAATATCTAATTCCTTCAAAAAGTTAAAAATCTTCTAAAACTTACTCATTTATTTTTATTATTTTTAAATTTTAAGACTTTTGAATCTTTATGATAATTATTAAATATAAATTTATAGCCATACATTAAGATTTGGTACTATGTAAATATTTGGTAGACTTATGATTTTCTGATCCTGTTTATCTATTTTTTATATTTCCTAATCTCAATTACACTATTTTTGATTAAAAAGTAAATGTATAATTAATCCTACTTATATGTTTATAACTTGTTCAAGCATTATTTTCTAAGCAATTTTAGTAAATAATCTCTCTGTATATATTTTAAAAAACTAGTAAAAGACTCAAATGAAATATTTTTATTTTTATCTTCTTTATTAAATTATCTTATAAATATGTGTATTAGACTAATTCTAAATTATATCTAAAAGTATAGATGATAAGATTTAATAGTTGATTACATATTGAATATTGTTTTATAATGTAAAATTAGCTTCATGCCTGAAGCTTATAATCATTTAATTTATAATTATTATGCAAACAACATATTTTTTCCTTACACATGAGTATTTTCAATAGGAATATAAATTTAATTATACTGATGGAGCTTACATTTAAATTAAAACTATCGTGCAAACAACAGATTTTTTTTCATTGAATATAAGTAATTTAAATGAAATTATTAATTTAATTTGTTTAAAAGTAATGATTCTATTCTATATAAATTTAAAGTTACATTTAATATATATTATTAGTGTTTATCTTATACAAATTAATATAAAAAAATATTCAATCTATATTTACAGACTATATTTTACAATAATTGTTTTTTTTATCAATTAATTCTTTTCCGTATCAAATATTTTATCTTTTATTCAAATTCTTTTATGTAATTAATAATCAATTTTTGTTTGAGTTTTGAATATTTTATGATAATTTTTCTTGAATATCTATTGCTTTCTATACCTTTTAGTCATCTGAGTCCTCATTTTAATTTTAAATTTGTATATTATCAAGATCTTTATGATTATTTTAAATATCATTTTATTGGTCTTTATTACTGCTAATTTATATGGATATGTCATTTTATTGATTTTTATTATTAGTATTGCTACTTTAAATGGATAAATCATTAAAAGTTATTAATTTTGAACTATTTTAATCTGTTTATTATTAATTGCTCTCTGTAATCTTATGCAAATTTTCTAAGTTGATATTTTATTCTGTGTGAATATCGTTTTCTCTAGACTATTTTCTTTCAATATAGAACTATGACAATGGTAGTTGTTAAACCTATTTATTTTCATGAGGTTTCTAATCCATTCTTTTATTATAAAAAATTAAAATTATCTTTGAATCTTTCAGAAAAATCTTACATTACTGCCACTTCAAATATATTCCTCATTTCATCTCCTAAGAGTTCTATTAATTTCTTGTTCAAACCTGCTTCTGGATTGCTAAATAATTAACATTCTTTTGTTTATATTTTAATATAAAAAATATTTACTTAGTTTCAGAATTTCTAGTTAGCTTTTTATAGTGGTTAAATAATCTTTAATAATTTGACATTGTAGAATTTCTTCCCTTTTTAAACTTGACAATCGCCTTGGCTATTGTTCCTATGTTTTTGAATGATATATTCAATTTTTTTTTTTGCTTTTGCACTTTGTTAACACTTTATTCTAAGTCTATTTACTCTTATTTGATCTGTTTCATGCTTAATACCGTGTTATCTTTGCTTATAGAGATGAGAGGCTTGGGGAAAAAATTAAAAAGAACCTATTGATCATCATTAAAGAATAACTTTTTCATTTTTTCGACCTCCTTTTATCTATCTAAGATAGTAAAAATGTCTAAATCTTCACTTACTTAATTTTTAGCTTTGTCTATTAATTTTACATGTTCACTTTAAAAAAATTTGCCACAAGTTAACTGATTAACAATATATTTAAAATTAAGCCATATTTTTTTTTCCCTTTCAATAATTGATTTGAATTCTTTCTCCAAAAACTACTCAGCAGCTCCTCCAAATTTTTATTAAACAATTTTAGTCATGCTACGAGCTGCACGGCCAAACGAATTAACTGCTCTTCTGACTTAGCCTTTTGGGGTACTTTCACTATATTGATATAAATTTTTTCTTGAAGTGAATTATCCATTATTATTATTTGTTTTTGTGTCTAAAATTTCTGATTCTTTTCTTTAGAAAAATGGTTCTGTTTGAGTAATTTATTTTTCATCATCTTAAATATTTTTTTACTCACTTATTGCTTAAATTCTGTTTGTGAAATTAAATTCATTTTTTACCTGTAAATCTTAATTGAATTCATCAAATTAAATAGTATCTTTTTTCGTTTATTAAAATTAATTTGTTTAGTTTACACTTTCAATGTGAATTGATTTCTCTTGATTAAGACTTTCTTTTCGTAAGCTAATTTATTGATTATCTACGTCAGCGTTACTATTTTCGTAAATTTAAATATCATTTGGAGTTTATTTTTAATTAATTTTTGAATCTAAAACAAAATCAGTATTTTTGTAATTCTTCAGCGTTATTTCTTTTTCTGTTTGTATTTTCTTCATCTAATCTAAATGATTGTCTTATTCAGCAGTTTACAAATTTAAGTTATTATTAAAAGGGTTATCGTTTCTTATGTTTTAAAGAGTACTAGTAGTCAATAAATTTTTATTGAGCTAAATATTAGAACAAGTAAATTTTGATTGAAGATTATAGTGAGACCAACTACTCTTTTAGTAAGCTTATTCATCCTTTTAGTAATTTAACGGAGAGCTATTTTAAATTTACAAATGATTTTGTATTCGATGATGACTATCTAATTTATTTGATCTTTTGCCTTTACTGACTGAATCTTCATGAATATCAAAATCATATAATTTATTTGCAAGCTCAATGCAAAAAATATACCCATTATATTTGCTTACTTTTAATAATTTACAGAAATTAAATTAAAAATCAGGCTATTTAATATTTACCTATAAATGCTGAAATTAATATGAAAACTTAGCTAAATCCTCCAATATAACTGACAACTTAAACTAGCTTTAAGTAGCTTTTATTAGCAATTGTTGAATAGTAGCTTCTTTCGAAAAATACTTCACAAAAATTAGTAAAATTTCCCACAGCATTTTATTACCATGTCTCACTCCTCTTGAATTAAAGCAGATTTTAAGTTTCTATGTCTTAGATTGGAAAAATGCTCTAATCAGTAATAAGCGTTTATGAGTTAATATATAAATTAGCAGTGGTGTACATCTAATTTTAGTAAAAATTCAATTTAAAATTAGAAATAACCTTTAATATACTTATACTTACTTTCCCTTGTTGTATATTAAAAATTTGAGAGTCTAGAAAAGAAGTAATCGAGTTAGTAGCTTTTTCTGGATTTAATATATTGTTTGAGATGAAAAATCTTACTCTTGAATTTTGTAACTAGTTTGCTTGAATTACTTCTGGTCTTTCGCATATTGGATTCCAAGGATTTTTAGGATTCTAATAGGTAGAATTTGTACAATAAGTTATGGAGAATTTTAAAAAATAAAAGTCTTCGTTTTCAAAAATCCCTCCTATTTAATATTTGATCCCCTTTCTTCATAATAAAAACATTAATTATAGAAATTTTAATATTTAATATACGGTAAGCACAAAAAATTGGATAAATTGTCTAGCTAAAATGCGTATGTCCAATTAAAATTGAAGCTAGGCAAATTTCTAAAATGGTCAAGAGTACACGGTTCTAAATAAATAGTAGTCTATTACATATTTATGATAAATTGTTTTAAGATTTTATTTGTAATTAATTACATTTTAAGAAGTAGTTGTTCCATCTAAATTTCTATGGTAATGTCTTTATTGTAAAGTGATATTAACAAAAGGTCTTTAAATAAAGTTAGGTTGATCATATTAAACTGCTATCATGAAATCATTATGGTCAAATTCTAATAAAGATGGTGATACACTATAATTCTAAGACTAAACAAAGGTAACTTAAGCTATTATAAAAAATTATCAATAATTCAATATCACACTAATAGTAATTACTCTTAGCAAATAAAGTTTGTATCTATTTTTAAAATTTCAAATTATATAAAGAAATAATGATTATCAAGCAAGTCAAGAAAAAATAAATAAATAAATAAATCTAGTAGAATTTTAAAATTTTAATAATTCTAGAATAATTATAAAGATATTTTAACTAATTTAGTTAGTTAATTGCCAAAGAAAATGTTTCTTTATTAAAATTTATATGATATTTTGAATGAAATTCTTGAGTTATTTTTAAAAGATAATCAATTGTTACAGTAGAAATACAAAGCAGTATGATGATACAAATACAACAAATCGTAACAGAGCCTCCAAAATAAGTCCTGTATTAAGAGTCTTTATTATAATTTAATGTGACCGGAGTGCCAAAGATATCTATTTCCTTTAAAAAGTAATATGGGATAAACTTTTTTAACATTCTTCTTCTGAAAAAGATTTGCTGTTTTTTTATTACTCTTTAATTTAATTTTCTTTCTTAATTTTTTTGGAAAGAAATTGAATAGTCTTGAAATGCTAAATGATTTAGTTTCTAAACTGATTCAAACATTTGTATTTTATTTTCAATTTATTAATAAATCTACTTTCTTAAAATATGGATATTTTAATTAATTTCAAAGCCTTTTATATTTTTTTTAGTTTATTTGAATAAGAACAAAAATATTTTTTTACTGATATGTAAAAAATTAAAAAAATTGAGAATTAAAGAATTCTCAAATAACACATACGTCATTTGATTATTTATAATTATCATTTAGTAACATTAAAAAAGTTAATATGTAGATTTGATTTGCTCATTTTACATAATTACTTTTTTTAAAGATAATGAATTAATTAATTTATGTCTTTTTTTACAAATTAGTAAATTTAGTTAATTAAATCTTAAAGATACTCATAAACATTCATCCTTTGTAATCTTATTATCATTTAAAAATACGCAATTTAAATATTTAAACATCGTAAAAAGAACTTTTAAAATTTGATATAAAAATAATTTCAATTAAAAATAAATAACTATTTTTTTGAAATGCTAATACAAATTTATTTTATTCAAAAGATTTTAAGATCAAGATAAATATTTTATTTATATTTAAGACTTCTCTTGTAAATAAAATAGATAAAATATTAAGAATAATATGAACATATTAAATAAATTTCACTGATTTTATTCTTTATCTTTACTATCTTATATTTTTTCATCTGAGTTATTTTCCTCAAACTAAATAACAATGCTACTAGGATCTATAATTTTTTAAGTTATATTCTCGTTTTAATAATTTTAAATAGTGTTTTGCTTCATCAAATCTTCAAAAATACCTGAATGGATACTTTTAGGCTTAATTTGCTTCTAGTTATTTTCTATTATTTAATTTGATTCTTACATATTTTGATTCTAGTCAGTGTTAAATTAATTTTCTGTTTTTTAAGATCTTAAATTCTTCATAAATATATCTGATTAAAGTTAGTTTTATGGGGTCATGCTGTATTCTCTTGGCCTTTACTGCATTCTTTTTTTGAAATTATATATTTAAATTAAAATAAGTTTTTTTTCATCTTTAATTTTACCTTTTGGCAACTTCAAAAATACTTCTCATTTCATCTCCAAGAAGATCAATAAGCTTTTTATTTAAAGCTTGCTAAGAATTACTTTTTAATAGAAAAGGTAATTTTTTTAACTGGTAATACAAATTGTAATATAATAAATTACTTCACATCATTTTCTTATGAAAGCTTTAAATAGTGGTTAAATAGTTTTTAGTAATTTGAAGTTACGCCCTTTTTACCCTTTTTAAATTTAGTTATTGCTTTAGCTATTGTCGCTAGATATTTAAATGAAATATTGAGCTTTCTCTTCTTCTTTTCAACTTTAGTGATACTTCTTTAGAGATCCATTTATTCTTACTTAATTGACTTCAAACTGAGTGTTGTATTATCGTTATTTATTGAAATTATAGGCTTAGGGAAGAAATTAAAAAGAACTTGCTGGTCCTCACTAAAGAATAATTTCTTCATTTTTTCTAGCTCTTTTTGCCTATCAAGAATATTGAAAATATCTAAATCATCTCTTACAAGGTTTTTAGCTTTCTCTATTAATTTAACATTTGGACTATTGAAGAATTTTCCACAAGTTAATTAATTTATGATATATTTGAAATTAAGCCAGATTTTTTTTTCTCTTTAAATTATTATTTTAAACTCCTTTTCTAAAAACTGTTCAGCGGCTCCCCCATATTTTTATTAGATTATTTTTGTAATATTTCTAGATGATGCTCCAAATGAAGAAAAAGGCTTAGCGCCTTAAGCTTGTGGAGTATTTTCAGTATATTAAAATAGACTTTTTCTTGATGATTAATTGAATTTCATGACACTACGCTAAGTTTGTAAAATATCTGATTACTTTTTTTCAAAGTAAGAATCAGCCTTTGTTAATGATTTTAAGTAACCAGAAAAATTCTTTTATTCAAATCCTGTTTAACTTTTATATTTTCGCTAATTATCATTCTCTTCTTAATTATGTTTATTCAAATTATCTAAATTAAATTCATTATCTTATCGTACCAACTAACTAATATCTTCTTTTTCTTATAAATTTTTATTATCTTTAGTTTACATTATTTAATCGGAGTCATTATTGTTAATTGCATACTTTTTAAATTCTTATATTTGTATCTAATTTTAATCGTTCTGGGTAGTAATATTATGTGTAGGATTATTTTCTTTAATTTATTTATTATTTGTTGTTAGCTGATTATTATTTTCTGCAAAATAGTCTGTTTTGTAGTACTATTAACCTAATCCTTTATCCATTAAAACTTGTCTAATTTAATCTAAAGGAATAAATTATTATACATCATCTTAAATGGGCTAATTAAGTTATGAGGGTTAATTTAATGATGAGGGTTAATTAAGTTATGAGGGCTAATTAAACTAAGAAGGCTTAATTGTACTATAGAATTACATACTGCTAAAATTCTTAGTTGTTTACTGCTTGCTCATCCCTTGGATATTATTTAAAGTCTATTTTGTTTCTATTTTATTAGGCATTGAAGAAAGCGTCTAATCATTTTTTCTCTCTTAGTATTCTTATAAGTTTTGATTTGTTTATTTTCGTATAGCATATTAATCTGTTAAAGATTTTTGATTATTATAAATACTGTTCCTTTTTACATCAGATTTTCGATGATTTTTTTAATTTGGATCATCTGGTATATCAAAATCATATAATTTATTTGCTAATTCAATGGCAAAAATGTATCCATTATACTTCCTAACTTTATTAATTAAGAGAATGAATGTATGGAGTTTATTGTGTTAATTTAAATAATTTTACCTAAAAACGCAGATATTAATATAAAGACCTAACTAAAACCTCCAATATAGCTGATTACTTAAACTAGCTTTAAGTAGCTTTTGTGAATTACTGTTGTATAATAGCTTCTTCTGAAATATATCTCGCAAAAAATATCAAAATTTCCGACTGCATTCTACTGCCATGTTTCGGATAACTTATATTACATCAAATCTATTTAGTTTGTATCTGGTAAAGGAAGAATACTTTCATCTGTAATTAGAGTCTATGAATTCAAATAAACGTTTGCAGTAGTATACATCTAGTTTTTTTAAAAAAACAATTAATCAAATTAAATGAGGATTTTTATATAATCAATTTACAAGGCCTTATTAAACATTAAAAAGAATAGAATCTAAGTAAGAAGTTATAGAGTTTTCTGCTCTTTCTGGGTTTAGAAAATTATTTGAAAGGTAAAATCTTATCCTAGAGCCCTCATTTTAATTTGCTTTAACCACACTAGGGCTTTCACAAACTGGGTTCCATGGATTTAGAGGATTAGCTGTTGAATTTACGCATTTAGTTACAGCGAATTTAACAAAGTAAAAATCTTCGTTTTCAAATATGCCGCCAATCTAAAATTTAGTTCCTTTTCTTATTTTTTATATAAATTTAATAGATTATATATATACTTATGTAAATCATTTTACTTAAGACAAAGAAAATTTTATAGATCTTCCAACTAAAAAGTATATGTCCAGTTTTAGCCATAGCTAGGAAGGTTTATAAAGTGGTCTATTGTGCAGGGTTCGAGTGGTATAGGTGTCTATCATAAAAGGAAAACATTTCAAATATAAATATAGATTTAAAGTGATACTTACTTTAGTTTTTATAGTAGTCCCATTCATTAACCTTTTATAATACCTCTATTCAAATGTTATATTATAATATGGTCTTTTTACAAAATTAGGTTAATCATATTAGACTGCTATCATATAGTTGGTGTTATCGAAAATTATATTATCAGGCTAAACACTATATGTAGTAGATTGAATAAAACTAACTTAACCTATGCATTAAAATATATTATCAATTAATATTGAAAAATATCATTTGTTTTACTTTTCTCGAAAAGAGTCTTAACCTAATTATATAAAAATTAATATAAATATTAAAGATTTCAAAGTAACCTAAAAAATTTGAATAAAAATGCTACTCAATCCAAAATTTTAAGAAAAATTTATAATTTAAATTAGCAATTTATATGCATATATTTTAAATATTTTATGCTTTCGATTATAAAAAATTTAAATCGATGAAATAAGTAGCTTAATATGATAAATTATTTTTGAAAATATTATTTTGAATAATCTTTTTTAAGTAAGGCATTAAGAAATGATATTTACAGTTGAAAAGCAAAGCAAGGCTATTAAAGCGATACAAATAGCAGCAACACTACCTCCAAAAAATGTTCTATATTAACTGTCTTTGTTATAATTAAGACTTATTTAAGTCCCGAATATATCCATACGCCTTAAAAAATAGTAAGGCATAAAACTTTAAATCATTTTTTTAATATAAATTATATTGTTGATTTTTGTAAGTAATTATCTTTTTTAAATTATTTGTTAGATTTTTTTTCATCTAAGAATTTAATATTCTTAGGTCATATTCAAAATTAACTTAACTTTTTTCTAATCTTTATTTTAATATTTTTTTTAATGAGAAAAGAATTTAAGACTGCCAATTTAATTAGCGAACCATTTGTTTTCACGTAAATATATATGGCAAAAGTATAATTTTAACATATTTATCAAATATTTGTCATTTTTACTTTCCTTAAAATAAAATATCAAAAAAGAATATAATTTATTAATTTCTAAAATCGGGTTTCTAATTAAACGTGAATTTAAGATATTAATGTCTAATCTACAAAAAAAAAATACTTGATTTAAGATAGTTATGTAAATGCAGTTCATAGATCTATATTCTTAATTCAAATGAATTAACTTTGAAAATAAAAAATTAGAAAACAAAATACTAATCAAATTTATTTGATAGAGTATATATATATTATTACTTTAATAAATTTTAAGAATAATTATTAATAGTTATGAAATAACTTTCTTATTCAAATTTTATTTCTTAATTTCATATCTAACTTTATATTACCCTTTAAATATATGAAATTTAAAAACATCTTCGAAAATAAAATCAAAAATTTTTTAATTATTTATACATTGCAAAAAAATAAATTAAACAATCATTTCAAAGGCTTTATTAACATTTAAATTTCAGATGAAATAAATACAAATCAATTATTATAAGAAAAAAAATATATAGGGATAATTTAAGTAGAACTTTTAATATTACCTCTTTTCGCAATTTAATTATTATCTTATTCTTAGCTGAATTTATTTAAAAGATTAAATATCATTTTAAAGCAATCTATCTATCTATTGCTAATAAATATTTTCAATCAATAATTTATGAAATAAATTTAAAAATACCTTAAAATTGTTTTTTATTAATATAATTTATTTGAAACAAAAAAATTTATATGAATTTGTTATCAAAAACTAAAATAATTAAAAAATATTTAGCACTTGGGTTGAAAAAACAAGATTAAGCGGTGCTATTTGGTTGGTAAATATTAAAATAATTAAGTACATTTATTTTATTTTTAAAATAAATTTATTTTTAAATTAGAAAAGAAAATAACTACAGTTATTTTTAATATTTTTTGAATAAAAAGCACTTCAAGTTATCTTAACCATATATAATTTTTGTAATCAATTTTTTTTACATTGTTAGATAGCAAATAGTTCACACAGGTCTGTTATAATTTATAAAGAGATTTCTTTTAAGTTATTAAATTAATAGTTTGGATAATTAATCGATTAAACTTCCACTTCTACAAAGAGTAATGAAAATGTTATAAGCACTTAAAATTATTATTATAATCAACTATGTGATTGCATGCAATATAGGATGTAAAGTATGTAATAGCGCTTAGTTTTGTCAATAATGCGAAATAAATTTTGAATTGGATTTTAAAACAGGGAATTGCATTTATAAAGGCTGCATTGATAATCTATATTATTAGATTAAAGATTCATCTAAAAATGGAATTTGTCAAGCAATTTGTGATTAAGGTTATTAAAATGATATGAACACAAATTTATGTGTTAACCTGGTACAATGCTCATTTACTTTTAACTCATAAACAGGAATAAGCTCAGTTTTAGAGCCTATAAGTAGGATATTATCATCAAATCCTTAATAATTTCTTTTAGTGTATTCATCATATATAAACATATAGCTATTATCAACTGGAAGATATGTTTATACAGAGCCTTTATTGTCTAATCTTAATTATGTAGAATATTTTTAAGGAAATTTCTACATTTTTTTAATTGATACAACATTAGTGAAATGGAACTTAGAAAGTAATATAAAAGAGTCTTTTGGTTTTAATATTTAAGGAGATGTAGACAAGAGTAGTTTAATTACATAAATTAATTAAAGATATTCAACATTAATTACTTTTGATAAAAAGACTTACAAAGTATATATTACATTATTATTAGACTAATCTTCATTTGTGACTTTTAACTCGTTTATTACTATTGACAACTCTCTTAATTTGAGCTATTATTTTTATAATGGCTTCATTTTTTCATCAACCATCAACGGAGGAATTTAAATTTAATAAATCATTATTAATTAAAATAGTAAGATAAGCCTATAGTATATTACAAATAATCATTTGTGTGATTAAATAGCTGGAGTTAATTTTTTAAAAGTAATTGGCTACTAAAATGAATAATTTATTGTTGCCTTGCAAAAATAATCTTACTATTTGGTTTTAAGTAAGTCCACATGCCAAAAATTGTAAGTAAATTAATTAATTTCAAAAATCTATGAGTTAACATTGGTAACCAATAATTATTACATTCTTCAACTATAGACAATAGTCTAAATTTTAGATATTAATTTAAACCAAATTTCGTAAGTTTAAATTTAAAATTTGATTATTGATTCTATCACAATTATTATTTCTGACTAATTGATAATAGTAATTCTAATTGATGATAACTAATCATTATAATTATTTAATTTAGATCTTTAGAGTTTATAGTTAGAATAAACCTTCTAATAATAGTTAAAAGATAGTTAAGCTACTTAAATATAATTAGTTTCATAAAATTATGATAATATTAGTAAAATAAATTCATTTTAAATTATGGTATATTATAAGTATTTGGAATCATTTTCATTCAATTTAATAGGAAAAGATATATAGTTAAAAAATTAATACTTTCTTAAGCCATTCTAAAGAAAATTTAATGATGCTTATTCAGCTATCTAATCAATGGACTCTAATGATAACAGCAATTTAGTAACTTTTACTACTTCTGGTGGATAAATTTTTACTTGGGATTACTCATCAGCTATGCAACCAAACTTATTAGACTCAACCTACATTTAAAACTATGGTTCTTTGAAATCAGTTTAATTTTTAACTGATAATAGTATTTTAATCTTATCTGAAAGTAATATTCTAGCTTTTGATGTACTTCACTCTTAGATCTTGTAAACTTGGGAATTTTTGAAACCTAATTCTAAAATGGTGAATAAATTTATATTCTCATTAAATGGCTTATCTTTTCTGCTATACGATTCATGCTTTAATGTTTTTGATCAAAGTTTTAAATTTATTTTTTAAGACTGCTCTTAAATTTTTGATGATGAAATTATTTAAGCAAAGCTAGATGTATCTTTTTATTTGGTGATACAGAAAAGATTTACCATATTAGTATTTAAAGTAGATTTAAATAATCAAAAATTAATTTAATAAGGATAATTTTAAAGCTTGATTTAAATTTAAATATGGAAAATAAAAAATTTTCCTTTGAGCTATTAAATTAATAATAATGTTGTTTTTGAACTATCCGTTTTTTTTGCTGATAAATCTTTTATTATATTTACTGAGTAATTAAACCAAATAATAAAATTTTTAAATATACCTCTTTCTTAGGGTATAGATATTAGTTTTGTATATGATGATCCATATGACAATATATATGTAATAGGAGGATTAAGTAGCTCTAAATCAGACTTAAAATATACAGCTTATGCTGTATTTAAAAATTAATCTAAAGTTTTTTATGCTTTTGGTTAAAGTGGATTGAATAAAATATTTCCTGTCTAAAAATACCTAAATTATAATAATTAAATTGAATATGGATTTAAATCTAGCTTAGTTTTGAGTTATTTAACTGCAATTTAAAATTTTAGTTTTAATGTATAAAATTAAGAAAGCTTTATGGATTAGATAGCTATTTCATAATAGGTTTATATGAGTACATTTTAGATGATTAAATAATAAGAATTTTTTACATATGGAGATAGTAATGGTTTAATGACTATAGATGCTACTAAAACATAGTACTATTAGAAAGTATATGAGTTAGACTCCATTTTAATATAAAATAATGATTTTATTTAAAAAGTGTATTAAAGTTTATAGCTTCAAAAATATTTTATCATTAAATCTAATATCATGATATATAATCTATTGACAAATGAGTTTATAGAATAAATTAATTTTGAAAATTCTTCAAATTCAACTATTAAATTCTTCAATATTACAGATTCATAATCAATTATTTGCCTAAAAGATAATTAACTTTTAGTTAAAAGTTATTTGACAAACAAAATTTATACTTATAATAGTATGTCTAATGTTACAAGTTGTCTTTTAAATAGTAGCATCATTTACTTATATGGATCAGGTATTACTATTCTTGACCTTTATTTGAATGAATAAAAATAATTAATTAATGATGTTGATAATTCTAAGTTTTAATTTTGCTAGATAAGCCCTATAATTTTAGTTTGCAAACAAGAATCTTCCCTAATGAAAATATTTAACAAAACTGACCTCTAAGTTATTAATTCTTTTAATTAGATATTAATTAGCAGCTAATACTCATTTTAGGTTGATGATTATTTACAAAGAATAATTTTATTTGCTGAAAATATTGAAGTATATAATTTCAATGGATAATATATATTCTCCATATAATCTATCAATTAGAATATTGTTGACTTGTAAATTCATAAAAATGATATTTCAGTTCTTTTGACATCAAGTAAGTTAATTAAATAAATTATTTTTAGCAATTTTAATTAATTAATTATTTAGGCATATAGATTTTTGATAGATAAAGTTTCGAATTTAGAGGAGAAATTCAAAGCCCTCAAGGATTTAAAATCATTAATTATAGCTACATTCCTTAATTGAATCAATTAGCTTTCTATTTAGAATCCATAATTTTAGGTCAAATATTTACTGCCAGCCTTGACAACTTAGCAATTGTAATGAAATTTACAAGTAGTTATACTTAGAACCAACCATCTAAGGCTGTAGCTTATTAATATGACAAAGATTAAAACTTATTTATATTACTAGATGAAGTAGGTAATCTTCTATCTATTGATTATGAAAATTAATTTTTAACATACTAAATAACGAAATTAGTAGAGTTTGATAATAATTCTTAATTCAAGATTCTTGGATTTGACTTAGATTTCCAAAATAATAACTTATTTGTTTATACTTAAACTTAAATTTTTAAGACATGTTTTGGAGATTTAAATAAACCTGTTATAAAATTTAGAACAGATAAAAAGAAGTTTTTTTCTTAAGTTAATTAATAATAATAATCTCAAATTAATATTATTGATAACATCTTTATGATAGCAGGTGATCAAGGTTTACTATATAAATATTAGAATACTTCTTTTGAGTATTATTCTTAATTCAATGAGGAAATTTAAGAATTAACTTATGATTAAAATAATCAATTATTAATAATAGCTCTTTCATAATCATTTATGATTTATTCAAATTTCAATAAAAGTTCTCTTGATATTCCAAATACACAACAAAATAGTTATAATACCATTCATTTAAACAGCCCTTTCTTATCTTTTATTTGCAATGATATTTACATAACTAAAGATATGTAAATATATCACTATGATTTTGTTAATAAGTAAATTATTCATTAAATTTCACTAGATAAGCCTAATTTATATATTCGAAAATAAATTTGCTCAATTTAATCTAATTATGTTTTTCTTGGTTTAAGTAATGGTGATGTAATCATCTACAATAGATAAACATATTATTAATTGAAAATTACTTTGATTCAGTAATAACAAGGATAAATTTACCAGAATTTACAAATTGGGGAATTGATTGAAACCTCAACAGATCTCTGGGTTTGTTATCCTAGTGGTTATGGAATTTTTAGGATAAAGATTTCAGACTTAAGCTATTCTCAAACATTAAACTTTAATAATCTAAAAACTTTCTAACAGTTCAAGAATCTTTATGTAATGATCTTTGAAGTTGATCAAAATAACAATAGGTTATTCTTAAGTTTTGTAGGTGAAAGCTTACTAAGAGTTTTAGACTTTTAAGGTAATATCATCTAGTATATATCTTTACCTGGATTGATGTATAATAAATTGAAGATAACCCAATATCATCTATTAGCTTACACAACTTTTCATATAATGATTTATGATAGGAATTCTTTAGTGTATATATCAAGAATTAGAAGAAATAATTTTTATGACTTTATTGTTAATATTGAGGAAGTGGCTGGTTAATATTTACTATTATTAACAGAAACTAAATATGAAATGTTTTATATTAACTAAACTGCTTTTGAAGCTAATTTAATGGATCAAATTCAGATCTAAAGTGCAACTTTTATGAGCATTTCTTAAAATAATTAGTAATATCCACCTAATTCATAAACCTATGATTAAATTATGCAAGTTTTAATGCTTTCATAAAGCTAAGTTTATGAATAGCGATATAATTTAAATTTTGAAGGTAATCTAAAAATGGATAAAGTTTGTACTATTGATATATCTGTTAGCTCTTTATAAGATATTACAATAACTGCTAATAATATATAGCCAGTGCAGTTTTCAGATACTTGCTAAAGAAATATGATTCCTGTTTAGGACTCAAGCTCTAATAATAAATGGGATATATCATTATAAAATAGTGATATAAGAAATGTAAATTTTAATGATACTCTCAACAGTGCCATTTAAGTTTAATCTATATAGATGGAAAAATGTTCATAAAATTATATATGCTAGACATTTCAAATATATTAAGACTCATTTTTGTCTTTTAGCAAATAGGTTGTATAAATAAGAGACTTCAACTTTGATTTTTAGTATTTCTAGGGCAATATTTAATTTTTTAGAAAATCAGATAAAGTGATATTTGATAATATTTAGATTTAAAACTAGAATTTAACTAATATCTCATTTTAATTTTACAATATGACATAAGTTGTTTTAAATAAAATTAATTTTATCAATAATTTAAGAGTACCCTCTAATTAAATTGATAATATAAATGATGTATTATTCTATTTTGAAAATACTTATACAGTGTATTTATATAACCTAGTTATTGATAATTAAAGCTAAAAGAATATTAGCTTTTCGGGTTTAATTGGAGCTAAAAATGTATCTTCTATGAATATTTTTAATTTAGTAATAAAAAATTCTTAAGTTTCTGTCTTAACAAATATTATAGATGTTGAAAACCTTACTGTTAATAATCTTTAAATAATAAATTGCTCATCAATAAACTCTAATTAAGGTATATATTTATTAAACATAATAGGAGTAATTAATAATAATCTCTCAGATATTATTATTTAAAATAATTTTAATCTACTTTTTATTTTTACCACTAATGTCATTTAAGAAAATAGTGTTTAAAAGAATCTCTAAAATGATTAGATAATATTAAATAACATATAAATAATTAATAATTAAATTCTATACTCTGATAGTGAATCGCTAGTATAAATTAAAAATACTTTATCTTTCATTATAAATATTATATACTAATTTAATTAAGGAAACATATCTGTAAATGAATCATTTAAATTAAAAATTCAAGACAGCTTTTTTTAACAAAACAAATGCTTAAATGGAGGAGCTTTATCAATTTATTCTAGTTAAGAAATAATTTTATTATAAAATACAACATTTTTTTAGAATCAAGCAATTGCTAGCGGTGGAGCTATTTACATAGAAAATACAAATGCATAGATTTTTATGGATGATAAGGTAATGATATTACATAATTAGGCTCTTATTGGTGGTGGATTAAGACTATTCAATAAGTAGTCAAATTATCCTTAATAATTAAATAAATATTATTAATATTAAATATTTAATAATAGTGCTGAATTGTACGGTAAAAATTTTGCATCTTTCATTTAAAGTGCAACTATTGGAGTTTTTTACAACGAAACAACAAATATAATCAATGCAAATAATAACGATAATAGTTAATCTCAAATAGAATATAACATTATATTACCTGAAAAAATGGGCATTGCTGATCAACAAAAATATTAAAAAATTCTCTAGATATTTAAATTTTAGAGTGGAGGTGAGGTTAGCCTTTTTATAAAGTTAATTGATTCAGAAGGAACATATTTAAATTTTTCACTTTTAAAGTTTTAGCAGAATACTTATCCTACTTCAATAATTGAGGAATTGAATATCATTTAATTTAAAATTTAGCCGATTACTTTAGATCAAAATGTAGTTATCGGTGGACATAATATCATAACAATTTAGAATTTTGATGAGAAAAATAATTAATTTGTATTTAATTAGATTAAAATATCGAGTATGCCAAACTAAACGACATATTTAACAATCAATCTTAATACTCTCTAAAGTACAGCTATGCTTCCAATTTAGTTATAGATTTATATGAGAGTTTGTTTAATTGGAGAAGTAGTTTAAATAATCGGAAATAATATTTATAGCTGCTATTCATGTCCTTCTGGACAGTTCTCACTGACTGATCCTACATAAGACTAGTTTTGGCATAACAACATATCAAAAGAGAATAAAATTTAATAAACTAATTAAAATTTAAATAAAACAGAGTGCTAAAAATGTCCAGATTCTACTTCTATATGCTAAAATAATACAATTATCCTAAAATAAGGATACTGGAGAAAGAATTAAAATTCTTCTGAAATAATTTAATGCTCTTCTATTTTTAATGCTTGTAATAATGAGGATTAAACTAGCAAATATGGTTGTCTTAGGGGTTATATAGGACCAACTTGTAGGTCTTGCGATATAAATGGATAGGTTTGGGATGGAGAAAAATATTCATAGTCATATTATAATTAAATGAAATGTAATTTATGTAGCACAATAAAATTTAATATAATAGTGACTTCAATAGCTATCTTATTGCTAATATTATATTTCTTTATAAGTACAGGCATTTTTATTGACTCCTTTACTCATTCATCTATTTGCTTATATTTAAGAAAGGCCAGCATGATTCCTATTTCAAAAAACTAAATTAAAGATTAATCAAGCTTCTACTTAAAAATTCTGATAAATTATATTTAAATTTCCAGTGTTTTGGTTGCTTAATAGCCAAATATTTTTCCAATCATTTTAGAAATTTTACCTAATTTCATGAATGATCCAAATTCCTAAATCGCATTAAATATAAATTGTTTGGTAAGTTAATCATTAGTTTAAAAATATAGTCCTGTCCATACTACTTAAGTCTTATAAGCTATTTTACCTCTTATTTTTTTAACAATGTCTGTTTTAATAGCTGTAATTTTTAAATTACTGAAACTATTTAGAATAAATAAATTCTATTTATACAATCTTATTAACCTGATATTTGTATTCTTTCAGCCAAACTAGATAAATTTTTTCTCAAAATAATTAACTTGTACCTAAATTGGATCAGAATTTTATGTCACTTCTGATTTGACAATTAAATGCGGAGATAAATAGTATGATGCATTCACTAAGATTTTAGCTATACCACTTATTATAACTTGGAGTTTATCCCCTCTAATAATTTTATTTTTTTTGAGAAAGAGATCGTAGATTCTTTAAACATGCTTCTCAATATATTATTTTGGTTATTATTATCAAGAATATAAAGAATAATTTTATTATTGGGAGTTTATTCGCAACTACTTAAGAGTAATTATTGTTGTTACATTTACTTTAACTTCTTAGTCCTTGCTTTTAAGTTTTTAAATAGTCTTGCTTATTCTATTCTTATATATTATGACTAGCTTGTATTTACTTCCATTCAGAAATAAATACTTATAGAAATTTGACCTATTTTGCTATTTAATTTTAACTATCAACTCAACTCTTTCTACATTCAACCAATCATTAAATTATTTTACTTTAACCGTATTGATATTCTGCCTTCATTATGGTTTCATGCTGATCATATTATTGGCTATTATTTTATTCAAAATTAATAACCCTTTAACTATGTTCGGAAGAATTTTTAGCAAATTGTTATTGTTGATATTACCTACCTCTCTTTATAAAAGATTTTATAAAAATGTTAAGACTAATTGGAAAACATTTATTTTATGGAAAAAAGTTTTAAAAAACTTAAAATTAATTGTTTAGTTAAAAGCTTTAGAAAATTTTAGCTAGGAACAATTAGAACTTTAACAGAATCAAAAGAATTTATGTAAAATTATAATTTTATTTTTTAAATAATTTTATCTATTATTTTATTACTAAAAGCAACAATTATATAAAAAATTCAAAGTTAAAGTCCAAAGTAAAATATAAAAAATCATTATATGCTCAGTTTAATTAGTGGCTCAGCTACCAATAGATTTTGTAATTTACTTAAATTTTAATCTTTAACTAATGAATTCAATTATTTTTATTTTAGAGGATCAAAGTTTGGGCACAGAAAATCACAAAAGTTTTTACTAAAAAACTAAAGTCTAAACTAACATTGATAAAAATAGTGAATAGTTATCATTTTCTGTAATTAATCAAAAGTAAATTGAATCAAAGTAGATTTCTAATATTGATGAGTCTAGTAATTTATTTAAAGATCACTCATTAAAAATTCAAAGGTTTGATTTAAATTATGAGACCAAATTTAAAATGAAGAAATAATTAGATTTACATTAAGATTATTTATATTAACAAAAATAATGTTAAAATAGTTTATGATAGTAAAATATTGTTTTTGTTTATCATTTATTGTAAAATTAAATCATTATTTATTTTATTAATTGACATTTTTATATAAAAAATTAAAATTTCATTCTCTATGTAATAGGAGGACTAAGTAGCTCTAAATCAGCCTTGAAATACACAGCTTATGCAGTATTTAAAAATTAATCTTAAATTTTTTATGTTTTTGGTTAAAGTGGATTGAATAAAATATTTCCTGTTTACAAATACCTAAATTATAATAATCAAATTTAGTATGGATTTAAATCTAGCTTAGTTTTGAGTTTTTTAACTGCAATTTAAAATTTCAGTTTTAATGTTTAAAATAATGATAACTTTATGAATTAGATAGTTATTTCATAATATGTTTATATGAGTACCTTTTAGATGATTAAGTAATAAGAATTTTTTACATTTGGAGATAGTAATGGTTTAATGACTATAGATGCTACTATAATATAGTACTATTAGAAAGTATATGAGTTAGACTCAATTTTAATTTAAAATAATGACTTCATTTAAAAGGTTTATTAAAGTTTGTAACTTCAAAAATATTTTATCATCAAATCTAATATCATGGTATATAATCTATTGACAAATGAGTTTATAGAATAAATAAACTTTGAAAATTCTTCCAATTCAGTTATCAAATTCTTCAAAATTACAGATTCATAATCAATTATTTGCCTGAAAGGTAATTAACTTTTAGTTAAAAGTTATTTGACAAACAAAGTTTATACTTATAGTATTATGTCTTATGTTACAAGCTATTTATTAAATAATAGCCTCATTTACTTATATGGATCAAGTATTACTATTCTTGACCTTTAATTGACAGAATATAAAAAATTAATTAATGATGCTGATAGTTCTAATTTTTAATTTTGCTAGATAAACTCTATGGTTTTAGTTTGCAAACATGAATCTTCTCTAATGAAAATATTTAACTAAACTGACCTCTAAGTTATTAGCTCTTTTAATTAGATATTAATTAGCAGCTTCTACTTATTCTAGGTTGATGATTATTAACAAATAATAATTTTATTTGCTGAAAATATTGAAGTTTATGATTTCAATGGATAATATAAACTCTCCATATAGTCTATAAACTAAAATATTATGGATTTGTAAATTCATGATCATGATATTTCTGTTCTGTTGACATCAAGCAAGTTAATTAATTCAATTATTTTTAACAATTTTAATTAATAATAATTTAATTAAATAGGCATATAGATTTTTGATAGAAAAAGTTTCGGATATAGAGGAGAAATTTAAAGCCAACAAGGATTCAAAATCATTAATTATAGCTACATTCCTTCATTGAATCAATTAGTTTTCTCATTAGAATCCATAATTTTAGGTCAAATATTTACTGCCAACTTAGACAACCTAACAATTATAATGAAATTTACAAGTGCTTATTCTTATAACCAACCATCTAAAGCTGTAGCTTATTAATACGATAAAGATCAAAAGAAGTTTTGTAAAATTATAATTTTATTTTTAAAAAAATAATTTTATCTATTATTTTATTACTAAAAGCAACAATTATATAAAAAATTCAAAGTTAAAGTCCAAATCATAATATAAAAAATCATTGTATGCTCAGCTTAGTAAGTGATTCAGCTACCAATAGATTTTGTAATTTATTTAAATTTTAATCTTTAACTAATAAATTCAACTAATTATATTATTTTAGATGATCAAAGTGTGGGCACAGAAAATCAAAAAGCTAAAATATAAACTAATATTGATTAAAATAGTGAATAGTAAATATTTTCTGAAATAAATCAAAGTTAAATTGAATCAAAGTAGATTTCAAATATTAAAGAATCTATTAATTTATTTAAAAATGATTCTTTAAAAGTTCAAAGGTTTGATTCAAATTATGAGACCACATTTAAAATAAAGAAATAGTTAGATTTATGTTAAGATTATTTATTTTAACAAAAATGATGTTAAAATAGTTTATGATTGTAAAATTTTGTAGTAAACATATCATTTATTGTAATCTAAATCATTATTTATTTTAATTGACAAAATATTTACTTTAAATTATTAAAATTTTTACTTAATTTATTTATTATTTTATTTTAAAAAACAATTTATCAAAATTTTTGATCAGTAAATAATTTCATTTAAGCTTCTGTTTATAAGAAAAACTAATTATTAATATTTAGTGTAACAGTAAAAATTAAATCAAAATTTTAAAGCTTGAATTTACTAAAAAGCAAAGTAACCAATATCATATCTCATATTATAATTTGAATAATATAAAATTAATTAAATTTTATATTTTGCAAGTACAATATTATACAAGAATTTAAACTAATATACTGAAGACAGAAAACAAATAAGTGAGATACAGTTAGTAATATATTTATAAATAAACTAATTTTTTTACTGTTTATTAAAGATAAATAGGATGAAAAATAAATAACAATCCCAAATCTTATTTCAATAATAATTTAAATAAAAAAATCTTGCACTATTATTTAAATTTTTTCTGTAGCTGAGAAGCTACACTTTAAAATTAATTGAAAATAAATAAAATTAATTAATTTTTAAATTTTATGTTATTTTATATTTTTATATTTATTTGTTTACTTTTTAATTAAAAATAAATAATTTTAATTTTATTTTATTAGAATTAAAAAATAATATTTAGATTTATTGAAAATTAGTTTTATGTTGTATTTCCTTTTCTCATTTTATTTAATTAAAATATTAATTAATGTATTTATTAATAAATTATCAAATCTATCATTATATAAAAAATTTATTTTTAAGTTTGTTTGTTAAGATTAAAATTATTGATAATATATTTATTATTTTGGTTGAAAAATAAGAATATTTGGTGTTATTAGTGTAGAAAATATTTAATTTAATTTATTAAAATAATTATGTTAATTTATTTCATTTTTAAAATAAATTCTTAAATATAATTTTAAATAAGAAAAGTCAATAATTACTAACAAGCAAAACAACGTTTTATTTTTTTAATATAAAGTATATCACATATTATTTACGAAATGCAATTTCAGTAATCACTTATTTTACATAGTTAGATAAGAAATAGTTCAGACAGGTCTGTTATACTTAATAAAGAGATTTGTCTTAAATTATAAATTAATAATTTGGATAATTAATCAATTAAACTTCCACTTCTACAAAAAGTAATGAAAATTTTATACGCGCTTAAAATTGTTATTTTAATCAACTATGTCTTTGCATGCAATATAGGATGCAATGTATGTAATAGCGATAAGGTTTGTCAATAATGCGAAACAAATTTTGAATTAGATTTTAAAACAGGGATTTGCATTTATAAAGGCTGCAGTGATAATCTATATTATTAGATTAAAGATATATCTAAAAATGGAATTTGCCAAGCAATTTGTGATTAAGGTTATTAAAATGACATGAACACACATTTATGTGTTAACTTGGGGTAATGTTCATTTACGTTTAACTCATAAACAGGAATAAGCTCAGTTTTAGAGCCAATAAGTAGGATCTAACCATCAAATTCTTAATAATTTATTTTGGTTTATTCATCATATATAAACATATAGCTATTATCAACTGGAAGACATATTTACACAGCACCTTTTTTGCCTAATCTTAACTATGTAGAATATTTTTAAGGAAATTTCTACATTTTTTTAATTGATAAAACATTGGCAAGATGGAACTTAGAAAGTAATACAAAAGAGTTTTTTGGCTTTACTATTTAGGGAGATGTGGACAAAAGTAGTTTAATTACATAAATTAATTAAAGATATTCAATATTAATTACTTTTGATAAAAAAATTAACAAAGTATACATTACATTATTATTAGACTAATCTTAATTAATAGCTTATAACTCATCTATTAGTATAGATAACTCTCTCAATTTGAGCTATTATTTTTATAATGGCTTCATTTTTTCATCAATCATCAACGGAGGAATTTAAATTTAATAAATAATTATTAATTCAAATAATAAGATAACTCTATAATATATTACAAATAAGCATCTTTGTGATTAAATAGTTGGAGTTAATTTTTTAAAAGTAATTGGCTACTAAAATGAATTTTTTATTGTCGCTTTGCAAAAATAATCTTTCTATTTGGTTTTAAGTAAGTCCACATGCGAAGTATTGTAAGTAAATTAATTAATTTCAAAAATCTACGAGTTACAATCTTAAACCAATAAATATTACATTCTTCAACTATAAACAATAATCTAAATTTTAGATATTAATTTAAATAAAATTGCGTAAGTTTAAATTTAGAATTTTATTATAGACTCAATCACTATTATTATTTCTGACTAATTAATAATAGTAACTCTAATAGATAGTAACCAATCATTATAACTATTTAATTTAGACCTTTAAAGTCTTCAGTTAGAATAAACATTCTCAAAATAGCTAAAAGATAGTTAAGCTACTTAACTATAATTAATATCATAAACTTATGATAATACTAATAAAATAAATTCATTTTAAATCATGGTTTATTATAAGTATTTGTAGTCATTTTCATTTGATTTAATAGGAGGAAAAAATATATAATTAAGAAATCAATACTTTCTTAAACCATTCTAAAGAAAGTCTAATGACGCCTAATCAGCTATCTAAGCAATGGACTCTAATGAAACCAGCAATTTAGTATCTTTTTCTACTTCTAATGGCTAAATATTTACTTGGGATTACTCATCTGCTATGCAACCAAAGCTATTAGACTCAACCTACGTTTCAAATTATGGTTCTTTGAAATCAATTTAATTTTTAACTGATAATACTATTTTAATTTTATCTGAAAGTAATATTCTAGCTTTTGATGTACTTCACTCTTAGATCTTGTAAACTTGGAAATTTTAGAAACCTAATTCTAAAATGGTGAATAAATTTGTTTTCTCATTAAATGGGTTATCTTTTCTGTTATATGATTCATGCTTTAATGTTCTTGATCAAAATTTTAAATTAATTTTTAAAGACTGCTCTTTAATTTTTGACGATGAAATTATTTAAGCATAGCTAGATGTATCTTTCTATTTGGTGATACAGAAAAGATTTAGCATATAGGTATTTAAAGTAGATCTAAATAATCAATAATTAATTTAAAAAGGATATTATTAAAGCTTGATTTAAATTTAAATTTGGAAGATTAAAAGTTTCCCTTTAAACTATTAAATTGATAATAACATTATTTTTGAATTAGCCATTTTTTTTGCTGACAAGTCTTTTATGATATTTACTGAGTAATTAAACTTAATAATAAAATTTTTAAATATACCTCTTTCTTAGGGTATAGATATTAGCTTTGTATATGATGATCCATATGATAATCTCTATGTAATAGGAGGACTAAGTAGCTCTAAATCAGCCTTGAAATACACAGCTTATGCAGTATTTAAAAATTAATCTTAAATTTTTTATGTTTTTGGTTAAAGTGGATTGAATAAAATATTTCCTGTCTACAAATACCTAAATAATAATAATCAAATTTAGTATGGATTTAAATCTAGCTTAGTTTTGAGTTTTTTAACTGCAATCTAAAATTTCAGTTTTAATGTTTAAAATAATGATAACTTTATGAATTAGATAGCTATTTCATAATAGGTTTACATGAGTACATTTTAGATGATTAAGTAATAAGAATTTTTTACTTATGGAGATAGTAATGGTTTAATGACTATAGATGCTACTAAAAAATAGTACTATTAGAAAGTATATGAGTTAGACTCAATTTTGATATAAAATAATGACTTCATTTAAAAGGTTTATTAAAGTTTGTAACTTCAAAAATATTTTATCATCAAATCTAATATCATGGTATATAATCTATTGACAAATGAGTTTATAGAATAAATAAACTTTGAAAATTCTTCCAATTCAGCTATCAAATTCTTCAAAATTACAGATTCATAATCAATTATTTGCCTGAAAGGTAATTAACTTTTAGTTAAAAGTTATTTGACAAACAAAGTTTATACTTATAGCAGTATGTCTTATGTTACAAGCTATTTATTAAATAATAGCCTCATTTACTTATATGGATCAAGTATTACTATTCTTGACCTTTAATTGACAGAATATAAAAAATTAATTAATGATGCTGATAGTTCTAATTTTTAATTTTGCTAGATAAACTCTATGGTTTTAGTTTGCAAACAAGAATCTTCTCTAATGAAAATATTTAACTAAACTGACCTCTAAGTTATTAGCTCTTTTAATTAGATATTAATTAGCAGCTTCTACTTATTCTAGGTTGATGATTATTAACAAATAATAATTTTATTTGCTGAAAATATTGAAGTTTATGATTTCAATGGATAATATAAACTCTCCATATAGTCTATAAACTAAAATATTATGGATTTGTAAATTCATGATCATGATATTTCTGTTCTGTTGACATCAAGTAAGTTAATTAATTCAATTATTTTTAACAATTTGAATTAATAATAATTTAATTAAATAGGCATATAGATTTTTGATAGAAAAAGTTTCGGATATAGAGGAGAAATTCAAAGCCCACAAGGATTCAAAATTATTAATTATAGCTACATTCCTTCATTGAATCAATTAGTTTTCTCATTAGAATCCATAATTTTAGGTCAAATATTTACTGCCAACCTAGATAGCCTAACGATTTTAATGAAATTTACAAGTAGTTATTCTTAGAATCAACCATCTAAAGCTGTAGCTTATTAATATGATAAAGATTAAAATCTATTTATATTATTAGATGAAGTAGGTAATCTTCTATCTATTGATTATGAAAATTAATTTTTAACATATTAAATAACGAAATTAGTTGAGTATGATAATAAGTCTTAATTCAAGGTTCTTGGATTTGACTTAGATTTTCAAAATAATAACTTATTCGTTTATACTCAAACTTAAATTTTTCAGACATGCTTTGGAGATTTGAATAAGCCTGTTATAAAATTTCGAACAGATAAAAAGAAGTTTTTTTCTTAAGTTAATTAATAATAATAATCTCAAATTAATATTATTGATAACACTTTTATGATAGCAGGTGATCAAGGTTTATTATATAAATATTAGAATAGTGCTTTCGAATATTATTCTTAATTTAATGAGGAAATTTAACAATTGATATATGATTAAACCAGTCAATTATTAATAATAGCTCTTTCATAATCATTTGTTATTTATTCAAATTTCAATAAAATTTCTCTTGATATTCCAAATACCCAGCAAAATAATTATGATACCATTTAGTTAAACAGCCCTTTCTTATCTTTTATTTGCAATAATATTTACATAACTAAAGATATGTAAATCTATCACTATGATTTTGTTAATAAATAAATTATTCATAACATATCTCTAGATAACCCTAATTTATATATTCGAAAATAAATTTGCTCAATTCAATCTAATTATGTTTTCCTTGGTTTAAGTAATGGCGATGTAATCATTTATAATAGATAAACATAATATTAGCTGAAAATTACTTTGGTCCAATAATAGCAAGGATAAATTTATAAGAATTTATAAATCGGAGAACTAATTGAAACCTCAACAGATTTATGGGTTTGTTATCCTAGTGGTTATGGAATTTTTAGGATAAAGATCTCAGACTTAAGTTATTCTCAAACATTAAAATTTAGTAATCTAAAAACTTTCTAGTAATTCAAAAATCTTTATGTAATGATCTTTGAAGTTGATCAAAATAAAAATAGATTATTCTTAAGTTTTGTAGGTGAAAGCTTACTAAGAGTATTAGATTTTTAAGGTAATATCATTTAGTATATATCTCTACCTGGTTTGATGTATAATAAATTGAAGATAACCCAATATCATCTATTAGCTTACACAACTTTTCATATTATGATTTATGATAGAAATTCTTTAGTGTATATCTCAAGAATTAGAAGAAATAATTTTTATGACTTTATCGTTAATATTGAGGAAGTTGCTGGTTAATATTTACTATTATTAACTGAAACTAAATATGAGATGTTTTATATTAACTAAATGGCTTTTGAAGCTAATTTAATGGATCAGATTTAGATTTAAAGTGCAATATTTATGAGTATTTCCTAAAATAATTAGTAATAACCACTTAATTCATAAAGCTATGATTAAATTATGCAAGTTTTAATGCTTTCATAAAGTTAAGTGTATGAATAGAGATATAATTTAAAATTTGAAGGTAATCTAAAAATGGATAAAGTTTGTACTATAAATATATCTGTTGAATCTTTATAAGATATTACCAAAATTACTAATGATATATAATTAGTAAAGTATTCGGATACTTACTAAAGAAGTATGATACCTTAAAAAGATTCAAGTTTTAATAATAAATGGGATATCTCATTAAAAAATACAGATATAAGAAATATTAATTTTAATGGTACTCTCAACAGTATTATTTAAGTGTAATCTGTATAGATGGAGACATGTTCATAAAACTAAATATGCTAATCTCTTCAAATATATTAAGACTCATTTTTAACTTTTACAAAGTAAATTGTTTAAATAAGAGATTTCAACTTAGATTTTTAGTATTTCTAGGGCAATATTTAATTTTTTAGAAAATCAGATAAAGTGATATTTGATAACATTTAGATTTAATACTAAAATTTAACTTGTATCTCATTTTAATTTTACAATATGACATAAGTTGTTTTAAATAAAATTAAAATAATTAATAATTTAAGAGTACCTTCTAATTAAATTGGTATTAAAAATGAAGATGCATTATTCTATTTTGAAAATACTTAAGAAGTTTATTTATACAGCTTAGTTATTGATAATTAAAGTTTATAGAATATTAGCTTTTATGGTTTAATTGGAGCTAAAAACGTATCCTCTATGACTATTTTTAATTTAGTAATAAAAAATTCTTAAATTTCTGTCTTAACTAATATTATAGATGTTGGAAACCTAACTATTAATAATCTTCAAATAATAAATTGCTAATCAATAGATTCTAATTAGGGTATATATTTATTAAATATTATAGGAGCCTTGAATAGCAATCTCTCAGATATTATTATTTAAAATAACATTAATCTACTTTTTATTTTTACCACTAATGCCATTTAAGAAAATAATGTTTAAAAGAATCTTGAAAATGATTAGATAATGGCAAAGAATATACAAATAGTTAATAATTAAATTAAATACTCTGATAGAGAATCTCTAATATCAATTAAAAATAATTACTCTTTCTTTCTAAATATCATATACTAATTTAATTAAGGAAACATAGCATTAAGCGAATCGTTTTAATTAAAAATTCAAGATAGCTTCTTTTAATAAAACAAATGCTTAAATGGAGGAGCTTTATCAATTTATTCTAGTTAAGGAACAATTTAATTACAAAATACAACATTTTTTTAGAACCAAGCCTTAGCCAGTGGTGGAGCTATTTACATAGAAAATACTAATGCAAAAATTTTTATGGATGATAAGGTATAGATATTACATAACTAGGCTCTTATTGGTGGTGGATTAAGACTATTCAATAAGCAGTCAAATTATCCTTAATAATTGAGCCAATTTTATAAAAATTAAATATTTAATAATAGTGCTGAATTATACGGTAAAAATTTTGCATCCTTCATTTAAAGCGCAACTATTGGAGTTGTTTACAACTAAACAACAGATAAAATAAATGGTAATAATAATGATAATAGCTAATCTCAAATATAATATAACATCATTTTACCTGAAAAAATGGAAATTGCTGATCAAAAAAAATATTAAAAAATTCTCTAGATATTTAAATTTTAGAGTGGAGGTGAGGTCAGCCTTTTCGTAAAGTTAATTGATTCAGAAGGAACATACTTAAATTTTTAGCTTTTAAAGTTTTAGCAGAAGTCTTATCCTGCATCAATTATAGAGGAATTGAATATTATTTAATTTAAAATTTAACCGATTACTCTAGATTAAAATGTAGTTATAAGCGGACATAATATCATAACAAGTTAGAATTTTGATGAGAAAAATAATTAATTTTTATTTAATTAAATTAAAATATCAAGCATGCCAAACTAAACAACATATTTAACAATCAATCTTAATACTCTTTAAAGTACAGCTATGCTTCCAATTTAGTTATAGATTTATATGAGAGTCTGTTTGATTGGAGAAGTGGTTTAAGTAATCGGAAATAATATTTATAGCTGCTATTCATGTCCTTCTGGGTAATTCTCACTGACTGATCCTACATAAGACCAGTTTTGGCATTATAACATATCAAAATAGAATATAAATTAATAAACTAATAGATATTTAAATAAAACAGAGTGCTAAAAATGCCCAGACTCTACTTATATATGCTAAAATAATACAATTATCCTAAAATAAGGATACTGGAGAAGTAATTAAAATTCTTCTGAAATAATTTAATGCTCCTCTATTTTTAATGCTTGTAATGATGAGGATAAAACTAGCAAATATGGTTGCCTTAGAGGATATATAGGACCAGTTTGTAGGTCTTGTGATATAAATGGATAGGTTTGGGATGGAGAATAATATTCATAGTCATACTATAATTAAATGAAATGCAATTTATGTAGCACAATAAAGTTTAACATAGTAGTGATCTCAATGGCTATCTCATTGCTTATATTATATTTCTTTATAAGTACTAGTATTTTTATTGATTCCTTTACTCATTCATCTACTTGCTTATATTTAAGAAAGGTAGGTATGATTCCTATTTCAAGAAACTAGATTAAAGATTAATCAAGCTTCTACTTAAAAATTCTGGTTAATTATATTTAAATTTCCAGTGTTTTGGTTGCTTAATAGCCAAATATTTTTCCAATTATTTTAGAACTTTTACCTAATTTCATGAATGATCCCAATTCTTAGATCGGATTAAATATAAACTGTTTGGTAAGTCAATCGTTAGTTTAAAAATATAGTCCTGTCCACACTACTTAAGTCTTATAAGCTATTTTACCTATATTTTTTTTAACTATGTCTGTTTTAATAGCTGTTATTTTGAAATTACTGAAATTATTTAGAATAAATAAATTCCATATATACAATCTTATAAACCTGATATTTGTATTCTTTTAGCCAAACTAGATAAATTTTTTCTCTAAATAATTAACCTGTACATAAATTGGATCAGAATATTTCGTCGCTTCTGATTTGACGATTAAATGCGGAGATGAATAGTACGATGCATTCACTAAGATTTTAGCTATACCACTTATAATAACTTGGAGTTTTTCCCCTCTAATAATTTTATTTTTTTTGAGAAAAAGATCAAAAAATCTTTAAACATGTATCTCAATCTATTAATTTGGTTATTACTTTCAAGAATATAAAGAGTAATTTTATTATTGGGAGTTTATTCGCAACTACTTAAGAGTAATTATTGTTGTTACATTCACTTTAACTTCTTAGTCCTTGATTCTAAGCTTTTAAATAGTCTTGTTTATTCTATTCTTATATATTATGACTAGCTTATATTTACATCCATTCAGAAATAAATACTTATAGAAGTTTGACTTATTTTGCTATTTAATTTTAACGATCAACTCTACTCTTTCTACATTCAACCAATAATTAAATTATTTGATTATATCCGTATTCATATTCTGCCTTCATTATGGTTTCATGCTGATCATATTATCTGCTATTATTTTATTCAAAATTAACAACCCTTTAACTGTGTTTGGAAGAATTTTTAGCAAATTGTTATTTTTGATACTACCTACCTCTCTTTATAAAAGATTTTATAAAAATGTTAAGTCTAATTGGAAAACTTTTATATTATGGAAAAAAGTTTAAACAAACTTATAATTAATTGTTTAGTAAAAAGCTTTACAAAATTTTAGCTAGGAAAAATTACAACTTTAATAGAATCAAAAGAATTTATGTAAAATTATAATTTTATTTTTTTTAATAATTTTATCTTTTATTTTATTACTAAAAGCAACAATTATATAAAAAATTCAAAGTTAAAGTCCATAGCTTAATATAAAAAACCATTATATGCTCAGCTTAGTAAGTGACTCAGCTACCAATAGATTTTGTAATTTACTTAAATTTTAGTCTTTAACTAATTAATTAATGAGTGTTATTATTTTTATTTTAGAGGATCAAAGTGTAGGCATAGAAAATCACAAAAGATTTTAGTAAATAGCTAAAATATAAACTAATATTGAGAAAAATAGTGAAATTTAAACATTTTCTGAAATAAATCAAAATTAAATTGAATCAAAGTAGATTTCAAATATTGAAGAATCTGGTAATTTATTTAAAGATGATTTATAAAAAATTCAAAGGTTTGATTTGAATTATGAGACCAAATTTAAAGTAAAGAAATAGTTAGATTTATGTTAAGATTATTTATTTTAACAAAAATGATGTTAAAATAGTTTATGATTGTAAAATTTTGTTGTTGCTCATCATTTATTGTAATTTAAATCAATAATTATTTTAATTGATATCATATTCACATTAAATAATTAAAATTTTTTACTTAATTTATTTATTATTTTATTTTTAATTTTAAAATTTATTTAAATTATTAAAAACTAAATACAAATCACATGTAAATATATAAAATACTATTATATAAGTTTATTTAATATTATATTAATTTCTATTAGAAAGATAAATAGTTATAGGTGTAACCTATCACTATTTATCTCTCTATTACAAAAAAAAAAATCTGCAATTAGCAATAGTATTATTCATTCTTATTATTAATCTTAAATCAAATTAACTTTTATTTTATGAAAATTTTAAACTACTTCTAAATATTTATAATTTAAGGAGTATGATTTGAAAATGAATTGATATTAATTAAATCTAATAAAAAGTAAATATCTTAAATGAATGAAATTAGAAAAGAAATATAAATGGATAAAATAATTTCAATTTAATTTTAAGAATAATTTTTGTTGAGGAATAAATTTGATTTAGGCTCAAATAATGAAAAAAAATAAGCCAAATGCTTAATTACAGACATTTTTTGTAGTTTTAAAAAAAATCTTATTTAATTAAAGCTAAAATTTTATAAAAACTTATGAAGTAAAATAAAGTTAAATAAAATTTGATAAATAAAATAAATATACATAAATATATATTAATAAATGAATTAATTTATACTCATGTTTTATTTTTCTGATCGACTTTTATAATTTTTGATAATAAATTATCAATTTGTAACATTAGAATTTATATTTTATTGTTGGTCTTAATAATCTTCATTTTCATCAGTAAATATAATTAAACCCTCTTACTCTTTTTATTTAGCCGTTTCTTTTAAATTTTCCTAAATATGATAAAAATTTTACTAATTATAATGTAATTCACCTTAATTTTATCTTATTTAGTTAATTTCATCAAGATTGAAAATTTATGAACTATTAATTTAAGCAGAATTTACATGCTAGTATTTCCTTTAATTTTATTGCTATAAATTTTCCTAAAAAATATTTTTGTTCTTTATTCTGTTTATTATATTGAATGTGTTGATTTTATATCTTAAAAATAAATTAGTTACTTATTTGCTACTTCAAAAATGCTATTCATCTCTTGACCTAGGCAATCTATTAGTTTTTTGTTTAGTGATAACTAGAAGTTACTAATTATTTTATAATAAAAGTAAATATAAAATTAATTAAATTAATAGATGAATATACTTTTGATTAGGTTATTCGACAAGTTTTTAATAATGATTAAACAATTTTTGATAGCAAGAAATTTTAGTTTTTTTTCCTTTTTTGAATTTAATGATTGCTTTAGCTATCACACTAAAATTCTTTATTTAAATTTTTAGCTTTTTTTTATTTTTATTCAATTAGTCTATTTTATTTTTTTATTCCTACTCTTCCTACTTTACTTATTTTAAACTCAAAATAGCTGTATCATCTACCATTTTAATAACTGGTTTTGGAAAAAAGTTAAAAAGAGCTTGCTAATCTTCGTTCAATAAAACTTTCTTTAATTTATCTAATTCCTTAAAATTATTCAAGATTGTAAATATGTCTAAATCTTAGCTTATTTAATTAAAAGCTTTATTAAGTAATTTTATTTAAGGACTTTTAAATAGACGTCCACAAGATAATTAATTTAAAAAATATTTAAAATCCATCCAAAGACTTCTATCTCTGTTTATAACCAAATTGAGCTCTCTATCCAAATATTATTCAGAAGACATTTTTAATTTTTGGAAAGAAGCATATTTTTCTAATTTAATAGGGGATAAAGACATTGACATTCTTTTCGAACCATTATAGTGTTTGTGTTCCTATTCGTCTAAATTTAATTTTGTTAATGTATTTTGAAATTAAGCTTATTTTAAACCTAAAACGAATTCTTCTTTTTGTATTTGCTTTTCAAGTTATTGGTTTAGAGTTTATGCATTTGGATTATCTTTTAAATATAGTTATTTAAAATAAATAGGGGAATCAGACTTTTTTTCAAATTAATTAATTTAATTCTTTTTATCAATAATACCCATATTATTATTTTAAATAATCTTAATATCCTATGCTTAATTTTCATTAAGATGCTATAAATTTAAGTGTATAACTGAGTGGTTTAAATGCTTAGTATAATCTTCTTAGTTTGCTAATATAGAATGGTTTTAAATAAAACTTTTTTCTTAAAAATCTCTTTTTTAATTGCTATCCTTGTCAATAATATTTATTTACTATGAAAAATTTTAAGGTGCTTTGTGATTAGCTTTAGATAAGCTATAATCATTATTTTAAATTAATGGGTTAGTTGCATTTTTTTAATAATCAATTTTTTAATCCAAATTTTCTAAAATACTTTTTAATTTTTCGCTTCTTTTGTTTGGATGATAATTTTTTTAATTTTAATTTTGCGGTTCTAATTCAAAATCATACAATCTATTTGCAAGTTCATTGTAAAACACATAAGTATTATATCTATTTACTTTATTAAATTGAATTAATAAATTTCTATTCTAGATATTTATTTATTTTTACCTAAAAATGCCGAAATCAGAAAGAAAACTTAACAAAATCCACCAATATAGCTGATTACTTGATTTAATTTTAAATAACTTTTATTTGAAAAAGTAGAATAGTTGCTTCTCAAAATATAAAAATCTCCGAATACAGAAAAATTTCCAATTGCATTCTATTATTAAACTTCACTTTATTTAAATTGCAATAATCTTTCAGTGTGGACACTTGAGATAGGAAATATACTCTCGTCTGTTTAAAGCGTTTACTCATTAATGTAAATATTTGCAGTCGTATACATCTGTTTTTATGTTATTGTTTAATTACTTTTAAATATATAATTATTGAAATGAGTGGTAAATGTTATACTGAGCCCATCTAAATGTTGTATATTTGTGAATCAATAAAAGAGGTAATAGATTCTGTAGTCTTTTCAGGGTTTAAAATATTATTAGAAATAAGGAATCTCATTCTTGATTGCTAGTTTATACTAGATTTAATTTTAGAAGAGGACTCACATTATGGATTCCAAGGATTCAAGGGGTTAGCAGTAGTAGAATTTATACAGGGAGTTACAGAAAATTTTATGTAATTGAAATCTTAATTTACAAAAACACCACCAATTTTATATGTTCTATTTTTTCTTGGATAATGAATTAATATTAACTTACAAACTTAGATTACAATATTTTTAATATTATTTATTTACTGTAGACATAAGTAATCTGATATATTTTATTATTAAAAGGCTAGAGTCCAATTAAAATTATAACTAGGGAGATTAATAAAGTGATCAATAGTGCAAGGCTCTAAATACAAAGGAGTCTATGTTTAATAGTAAATCAAATTAATGGTTAATTAATTGTTAATTTCTAATAAATATGAAAATTACTTTTGTGACATTAACTGTACCATCAGGAAATCTATGGACGCTGCTTTAAACTAATGTAATATTGACCATAGGTCTAGATACAAAGTTACTTTAATCATATGAAATCGCTATCATTTACGTGTCTTTACCCAATGTTAATGTTGAAGGTTATGTGTTGTACTAAGTAGAAACAGAATATTACACCTAAGCTTTTATAATTATAAAGTGAGATCATTCATGGATTCTTATAAAAAATCTATTACTTTTGGCAAGCAAATCAGATATCTTTTTTATAATATATATCTTAGTATTTTTATTTTCATAACTTTGAATAAAATATTTTGTAAAAGTAGGATTAATAAAATCTCTTTACGTTTGAATAGCATAGGATAATTATAAAAAAAAAGCATATAGCTGTTACAGATCCACCAAAAGGTGTTCTAAATTAATTATCCTTTTTGTAGCTTAAGTTAACTGAGGCTCCAAAAATGTCAAATTGCTATATTATTTGATAAGGAAGGCAAAATTTAAGCATTCTTAAGTAATTTTTTTTATCTCTACTTTTTAGTTAAAATTTTTTTGATAAGTTATTATTTACCCAAAAAATAAATAAAATATTTGCACTAAAAACCACGCATAACTAAAAAATTTTTAATTTTCTTTTGAATATTATTAAAATGACCATTAATTAAAAAAACTAAATTTACACTAAAAATTAAAGCAGACACTTTTAATAACTAAGCCTAAACCATTTAGTTTCATTTTATAATCTATTTCAATTTTGTTATAAAATTAACAAATATTAAGTCTAAGACTATTTTTATTTTGAAATAGTATAAAATAATTATACATTCAAGTGACTAATAATAATTAACTATCAGAAATCCATGTTTTATGACTAATTAATAATCATTATAAAAATATTTGTAAATAATATGATAAATTAACTAATAGATGTTGAATACAAATTTTTTGATATAAATATTTCTTTTATTTTTTCTTTATTAATTATTATTTTATGTATATTTTTACTTTTAAGTTATTTCTAATTTATTAAATAAATAATTTTGAAGCAGTATTTTTTGAATCAATGGAATCTATCTGATATTTTTATGAATTAAGTCTCCAGTTTTAATTTATTAGAGAGTATAAATAAAATATTCAAAAAATAATTTTACATTATTAAAATTTACTTGATAGAACTATAAAACATACTCTAAAAATGTTAACTGTTTTATATTGATTAATATTTACTTTGAAAAAAAATAAGTATTATTAATTAAAAAAATATACTTTAGAAAGGTGAACTAATTGTTTTATGACAAGTGTTTAGAAGCATTTTAAATACAAATTAAGTTTAGATACTTTTAATATTAATTTAAAGTAAATAATTTAATATTTGTTTTAACTAGAATCATTTTAAATATTTACATATTTTAATTTAGAAAAGAAAAATAAAATTTTAAAAAGAGTAAATTAAAACAAATAGAATCTAATTAATTATTATTTTTAGGTTACATTCATCAAAATAAATCAAATAATCATTAATTTCCATAAAATTAAAAGAAAAAAATTTTCAGAATTAAAAAGCATGTATTTTTGATTTTTATCTAATTTTTGATATAAAAATCAAATGTAAATTTATGAATATGAAATAAAAAATTATTTAGTAAGAGAAAAAAAATAATTTAAATATTTTATTTTTTTAGTAAAAAATTAGAAATAAATTTTATTTAATAACTTTTAATACATTTAAAAAAATTTTTAAATATTAATTTATTTCTACTTTTCCAACAAATAAATTTACAATTTTATAAATTATTTTATATAAAGAGGAA